ATGATATATATGGACATTGTCAAAACTGAGACAGACAATCATGGGAAACAATACTGAATATGCATACCCCACTAAAAATGGTGCACGCACAAGAAAAATTACACATAAATTTAGTTGAAGAATACATTCAAGTTGCTTCAAGCCATTTATATACTATGTAATATATAAATGTTTCTAAAAATTTTTTTCTAAAGTTATGACTTGGAACCCCTTTCTATCCTTGAGAAAATTAAATTTAGACCACATTTTTCTTGTCACTCACCAAGTGACATTACAACTATTTTAATACAGTATACTTAATTTTTTGTTACATCATAAATTACATTCATTTAATAAATCATGCCGACTTTTTAAAACTTGAAATTGTTAATACCATATCTGGTTTACTCAAAATTATTTTTCTTTGAGTGCCAAGAGCACTGAGTATACAGGACGTGTCTATCCCTGAAGTATTATAGCATGTCAGCACCAACACTCTTCAACTCACATACATGTTTATACTTCCCCCAACAATCTTAAATATTATCTAAACCTGCTCAAAAATAGTCCTGGCAGACGATCACTATTTTTAGTCCCCTCCTGTTCATAACATTTCTTAAAATCCCAAAATTCTGCCCACCCCCTTACCTGAATTTTTAACAAGGTCCAACACACATCAAAGATTTCCTAGAAAAAACCCTGCCATAAATCATTATTGTGCTACAGGCTAGTATCTTACTCTGAATTACATTTAGCTGAAATTTCCTGTGAACTTCAGCTCAAAGAAATACTTGAAAATAGAATATTTCTGGTAACACAAACACTAAATTTTCTTATCATGAAATAATTCTAGTGCAATTCAATTTCAGAAATACAGTTGCAGCTCTCTTAATCACTTAACCACAGAGCACTGTATAAAGGTATGCCACCTTTAGAAAATTAAGAAATAGGGATGTACAGCAAGAAAGGGTAGCTCTAGTGATGAAGCTGTGTGCAAGGTTGAGAGCAAGTCATCTAAAGGAAGGTCTGTTTGTGATTTCACAGAATCTCCTATATGGCCACAACAACAACAACACAGTAGGCAAATTGTGAAGATAGCAAATCACTATAAAAAAGAAACATGCAAAAACAATAAGCCAAATAAAAATTCATGGTATACTATAGTACTCACAATGGGAGATTTTTTTCTTCATTTAGATAACAATATGAGTATACTATATGAATAATATAACACCTGAAAGGAAACTATATACCTGTGAAGTATTACCAATATATTTATAGAAAAAATAGTGATGGATCACACACATAAAAAAAAAAAAAAATAAAAAAAAATAAATAAATAAATAAAATAAAAGTAAAAAGATGAAAATACTATCAGAAAAAATACAAGTACAGTAACACTTTGCAGTTTAAGCATATGTTCCTTATTCCTTTAACTTCAATTTAATTAAAGACAGTAGAAAGACTCGAATATATTCATATGATATATGGTAAGTACAGTATTTCCCACACCTTGCACGAATTTGCCATTTGTAAATACTGTACAGCTTTTGCAGTTGACAAAAACAATAATACAGTACTGTACTATGACACACACACACACACACACACACACACACACACACACACACACACACACACACACACACACACCTCCCCCACTTGGGCTGAGAATACAAAAGTGATGTACACTGAAGTTGAAGGTGATGTGACCTTAAGTTTGAGTGAAATCAATTTGTGTTGCCATCACTACCCACAAATGATCATGTGGTTCACCCCAGCATCAACCATCTACTGTACGTCACTAACCAACTGCTCCATCCATAAATGCAATAAACATATACAAGCATTACACATTCCTGCTTCACTCCTTTCTTCTGTAAGCTCACACTTAGTCCTCCATTTATTCTCACACATGCCTTACTAAGCCAATAGAATTCCTTCACTGCATCAATCAGATCTACTTTTACACCATATATCGTCATCACTTGATCAATCCTATAATATACATTCCTTTGAACATTAATGTTTCCTGGTTTTTCCAATACATTATTCTGCAAGCCTTTGGATTCACAATTCCTATCTCCTCTAAATCCTCCCTGTTCCTCACCACCCAACACTGTCTTTTCTCTCACCCTCTATTTACAACTCTACCACATAATTTCACAGGTAGACAGATTGGAGTGATCTCTATAGTTTTTGCCGTTGACTATCCATCATGTACTTTCTGTTTCCCATGCTATCTTAAATAATCTTAGTAGGATGCTTATTATTTTCTCTCTTTGTTTCTACATTTTTGCCCCAATACTGTCCATTTCTGGAGGCAGTTTCTTGTAATATGGGCTGGCAATTGGGGCATTTCTTGGACAATTCCTAAGTAATTAACCCAGGAGAAATATTCTAACCTGAGGATATATCAAACCTCCACACAATAGGCAGCTACCAAACAGGGAAGTACTACTGCCTGGGAAGATATTGAAAGCATAATGTATTGTCTAATGGTATACCCTGTTTCCATATGGCATCACAAAAATTGTGAACAAGTCCCAGGTTGCTGATCTGACTTTGTCTCATTTACACACAATTGCAGGGTCTCAATTGTTTCTCTTACTATTGACAACATAACATACATATATCGTTTCTCACTCTTGATTTTATTTTTTTAGTTATTATTATTATTTTATTTAGATTTTTTATTATTTATATTTATTTATATTTATTATTATTATTATCATTATTGCTATCATATCCCCCCCCCCCAGGCCCCGATGTGGGTCAGTGACCTGTGTCTGGGTGGTCTAATCCCTGTAAAAAAAAAAGCCCACTATGGGGGATTTAGTGCAAAATTTGTCCTCAAGTAAATCTGCCTGACTAATCATCACACAGCTTTGCCTTTTGTTCTAGTACCATCTAAAAAACTTTTAACCAGCTCCTGGCCAACTAAGCCATGAAGCCCAAGGAAGAGGAAGAGCATCTGAGCCACCTAGCTACAGGTTCTGTCAGATTATGGGATTTCATGACCAATTCAATTCTTCCAGTTTATGCACTCCACCAGGAGGCTTCTAGTAATCCAATGCATGGAAGTCATGGAGAAGGAGGAGCTACAACTGTTCAAGATCAGTCAGACAAACATCCCAATCTAAGAGAGATCTTTTCTTTTTGCTAAGTTATATATATAAGACTGGGACCTTATCTATGCTCTAAACTCCCCTTATCATACAATCTTGGTTATTACCTGAGACTGTCATGGCATAATCCTTCAATCATTAGAACCACAATACAGTATATGACAACAAAGGTCAGGCAGTAAGAGATAGTAGATCTCACACAGAACCAAAAAAGAAATCAAGAAATTCCCTGAACCTCTGACAAAAAATTATCTTGCCTAAGATCTCAGACACTAACATGCCAAACAGCCTGAACCAAAAAGTTAATGAAAATATAAAAGGCATAAGAAATTTCATCTACCCAGTTTTGAGTTCCCCAAAACACGAAATTTCGGTTAACGAATTACCTCCCATTTGGATCTTCAATTCGGTTAACGAACAAAACTTCGATTAATGAAATCCTTACGAAAAACACGTTTTGTTGTGAGCATCAGCTGATCAGTTGATGGGCTAGTCTGCCAATTCAGCAATCTGTTCTATGTTTACATTCGTTTCCAGTGGAGTAAATATCAAGAAAGTTGTGCTCTTTAACAGGCGTCAGTTTGGCTTCGTTGACACTGGAGTGAACATCGATTTTGTTGGTGTCTTGAATATTTTTGCATTTCTACATTAAAATTATTGGTCATTCTGAAATTTTGTTAACATATTGATAATATATAGCGCAGTGCAGTGTTGATTTAAAAAAAATAATCTTGAATTACACCTTGTGAAGAATTTTGTGGGATTAATTTGATCATCATCACTAAAATGCTTGGTGATCCTTGGCTGAGGTTGTGAAAATCACATAATTTCTTTTAAATCGTGAGCCTGAAGCACAAATGTATCTAGCTCTACCCAGAATTTATATTTGTCTTTATAACAACTGATATTATCTTATCTGTGTAATTCATACTGTATAGTGATACAGTTTTATACAGTAGCTACATTCCAAAAATATAATACCAGAACAACAATTCCGTGAGCACTATACTGTACTTAGTGATGAGACTACAGATATGTGTTTAGGACAATCACTCTTGCACAGTATACACTTTAATTTACTTTTATATTCAGATATTTTAGTGTCTTTTCTGACGTGCTTCTACTGAACAACATATAGTACACTTGAACACCTGTAATTTGTCCTTCATTAATTCAGATTTTCAATGCTTTGGTTACCAAGTGTACACATTTAATTTTAAATATCTTATTATTTGACATAAGTCAAGGGCAGTAGGGTGTGGATTGCATTGTTATTTTTTACATTTACATAGTTGTTGTTTTAAGTAATTTCGGTTAATGCATCTAATATGGCGGTAAATACGGTTGGAGCCACACGGGAATAATAAGAGCTTGTCCATTGCAGACAAACTGAAAGTACATTAGTTCTAATGTAAGTTATGACGTACAAATTTAGGGTCAATAATTTATATCCCTTAATAATATAACCCTATTTTGTATTTAGAAGAGGCCACACATTTTTCTTCCCAAATACATTATATCTGTGAGACAATCATCATCATATACATATTGTACTTAAGGCAAAAACTGTTTCATGTATCAAGACTCATAATGTTCCACAGACAGCTAATTCTACTGGGCTACAATAATACCACCTTTACAAATATGTATACACAGTTAATTATGTCAAAACATAATATAAAGTAACCTTAAAATATTGAAGGTATCTCTATAAGGCCTACTTAAAGTTGAGCATGCACACTTTAGAGCAAAACATTTCCGATAAGTCTAGAAGATTGTGTTCATAAAATATAATAATAATACTGCAATAAAAATTTATATTTGCTGTTGGTAAACAGAAAACCCTGAAAATTTAATCATATAGTGCACAGAACACAAAACAAATCTACTTACAGCACAAGGAGTCTTCTCCATCTGGAGTCCCGGCAAGAGTCACAGCAAAAACACTAGCGTATGGCTGAACGTAATTGGAGGGGAAGACACCAATAGCACCTTCAACAGTTCCTTTCCACCAAGCTGCATCTTCCTTGTCTATCACAGAGATTATGGCACCAGCTTCAAATGTGAGCTCATCTTCATTCATTGCAGTGTATGGGTACAGTGCTTCTACTTGTTCTGCAAATCCTGTGAATGAGTGAAAAAATTAATATGTGAAGACTGACGGAGATGGCATAAATCTAAAACATTAAAAATAATCAAACTTCATTTTTAAACACATTATATTAACATCTTCTGACATCACTGGGCAATAATCCTAAGTGATATAATGCCCTGGTCCCCTGGTAAGTTATCTTGTACAGTATTACATGAGCTGCCTGGCTAATGTATAATAGCCAGATAATAGCAATAGGTATCAAGAGCTGAGCCATCAGTAACTGAGCAGTGGGAACATACTGAGCTAAAATGGGACAACATTGGATGCCACAGAATTAACAAGCAAAATTTCCTGAACTGAGTGCACACTGCCCATTTAAAATGCTAGATGCTCATATAAGTAGTTGGATCAGCTCAATCACAGCCAGGCAGCTCAAGTCCTATTCAAGTCCCTGAGATATAAAAGGTTAAGGGTTATAGTTGAGACAAAAGATATGAAATTTTTATTAGATTAGTACCGGTATCAGTCATCATGGTTGAGGGTAAACCTTGTTCTAATTTATTAAAGTTAATAGGAAATACTGTATTTACAGGTCTCTTGGATTGAAGTGAGGTTACAAAAAAATTTTATACAGAAGGAAAAAACTACTGTTGATGACTAATGCAAAACTTACCATTTGAGGCATCATTTGGGCCTTTCATGGGTTCATCAGTGGGTGGAGTAATAGTGACTTGTGTTAAAGAGGCAGTTGTGTTTGGTGGGGTTTGGATGTCATCTGGAGGAGCGTCCTCTCGATTAGTCAACTCCATTGAGACTGGAGTGGAACGAGAAGATCCACCCAAGACTTTTACGTAGGTGGCAGGGAACCATCCAATTTGACGTTTCTTGCCTTTAGCCTTAAAATAAAAATAGCTACATGTATTTTCAAGTCCAGTATTGTATTTATACTGGAGTACTAAACACAGTTATTACCTTACAGTGTAAGTTAGCCACATGAAAAAGGATAAGCAATATTACCTCTGATACATAAAAAATACACTGTTAAAATTATAAAGGGAGATATACAGTACCGTATATTATTCAGTCAAAAGAGACACTATGTCCACGATTCTTATACATTAATCCAAATGGATATCTTTATATAAGATTTTCACTCAAAATTTTATAAGACAATTTATTAAGGTAGTACCTGGAGTTCTCCCTCCCACCAACCAGAGGCTGTCTTCTTGCGGATCATCACCAGTTGTCCCCGTTGTAGATTGAGTTGGTTGCTACTTGTGGCATCATACGGAGCAAGTACTGTTGCTATCTCTGGCTTCTTCCCTTTGCTTCCCTGCAGTATAATCTAATATAAGTCCTTTGTAATATAAATTTGTGTTTCTCTACGAGTACAAAAACTTATTACAATAGAAAATCAATGTGATAATTATAAGAAGTATGTGACCATGCAATGTTAGGATGTACCAACACTACAGGAGTAATTAAAAAGAAAAAAAATGGGAATATTAAAACTTCTCATTAGTAACTTTCTTATTTCTGCATCAAATTTTTTTTTGCAGGCAAATGAATACAGTATTAGAGGATAGCCACTTGGTATTTCTCTATTATATCAAGACAGAGCATAATCTCTGTGGCACACACACTAATGAATTGCAATATTTAGCTCTCAGAGACCTCATCAGAAACCAATGGTATTATAGGAAGGAAATGATGACCAGTATTATATCCAAAATGGTTTAACAAATCAATGCGGTTGACCTAACAGGAGGTTGTCTGAGAATATGGAACCCCTCAGCAAGCAGTCCATATTACAAGAGCTGCTTGGCTATATGGTGAATGTCAGCAAAGTACCATGTTAGCAAAATGCTTCACAAACATGGTATCAATAACCGATACACTGTGACTAAAAAGGTGGAATTTTCAATAAAAGCCCCTCAGCTACACAAATTAGTTTTACATGCTCTATATTTAATGTAACACACATTAGTACAATACTGTAAAGTATAGGGATGTAGTAGTCTCACTGTTCACCGCTGGCATAATTTGCCCCAGGGGTGTGAGGCTGGTAACCCCTTCTTCTACATTTTTGTTACCGGAATGAAACCAGAATTAAAATTTCTACACTGTTGCAATATTTTGTAGCATAACTATGCACTTTACTTATCAAACTTATATAGCAATGATATTTTCACCTCTCAATCTTCAGCTTTTACTCAAATGTTCTTATCCACCTCTACAATAGCACTAGGAAAACTATTCATTAAGTTTACAAGGATGATTATAATTATATACACTACCTTCATAAATGCCACTTTTAACTCTTCATTCCAAATTCTAAACAAGGGCTTTTTTTTTGTTTTACTTGAAAGCAAAATATCAGTTATAATAAGTAAATAAAAAATCGAGACATCATATTGACGCCATCTCATTTATGGACAAAAAGAAGAACAGACAAGCAGACTGAGAGACAGGCTGAATCCAGCATCCCATTGTAATCTTTGTGGAAGAGTTTAAATATGGTCCTTCCTTTAGTGTAAAGATAACCTGCTTACCACAATTAGTAACGCTGCAGCAAATACACCTCAGGTTATCATGCCAAAAGTCATGATCTTTGATCTCAGCATTACCAGTGAAGTACTATGGAACTTGATGGACAAAACTCTAAGTTATTTTATGGAAACCATTCCATCTACAGACAGACATGTTGAATCCATTATAGTCCTCCTAAATTTTGTTTGCAGATGGAGGGGGAAGATCATAACTATCTCATGAACTACAGTATAGTTTGATTTTTTTTTTTTTTGGAGATCATAAATATTGTAACATACAGTATCATATACACACTGTACAGTATTAAGATTTACACAAGTGTGATTCAAAATCCTCAACCATGTTTGTGGTAGTCTACCTAGGGGGCAATGGGGGAAAGTGAAGCGGTGTTAAAATGATCAAGTGAAGAACTGATTCTTGATCTGAAGTCTGTCACTTGCTACAACACTTGACTTTATTGAGGTTTATGTAATAGTTTGCTCAGTCTGTGATTAATTAAATGATACATTACAACAAATTACATGCAATACCTTCAAGAATTAAATAATACATACAGTGCAAGAAAAAGGAATTAATAACATTACCCATTCTCTTATACCTAAACATTTTGTCTGCTAGACTACAGTTGTGAATATAGTAAACCAAATGAAAAATAAAAATATACTGTATTGAAGAACTAAAACTTTAACTCTTTAAATACAGGCAGGCAAGTATCCTATAAAAATTACGTGAGATCAATATAGCAGATTATACCTTCGGTGATTTCGGTGACTTAGCAAGCTCCATCACCTCCTGGCAAGCACCAGAGAGAAGACACACACAAGTTAGTAAACAAAGTCATCATTCTTTCGTACAGTGTAAGTGTGCAAGATACACTATATTAACAATATTATATGGTATATCTTTGAAAATATACAAAAATATGCCTGAAAGTTAATTTATAAAATACTAATGAATTTTACTAGAAATGATTGTCATTAAATTCTTATCAACTGAACGAAATACTGATTTATCATAAATTTCTTCTCTTTTAAATACCTGATACCTAACCCCTGAAACACTTCTATTATTCTTAAACAATGAAATATATAATATCCAAGTGAGAACAATGTTATAGCTCTTTTCCATACAGGTATATGTTCTCTATCATCTAAACCAAGAAACATATTCCATATTACTACTGAATACTGAACATCTAGTGGCTAAATAATGTGAAATACCTTGAATTAAAAAAAAAATTGTATACCTAGAAAACAAAAGCTCACAAAGATTTCTTTATTGTACAATCAGAGACAAAAGTCGTGTTGCGGTTTTGTCCAAAGATTAAATATAACTCATGAAATATTATGAGAGCCCCCAACCACAAGGCCGAGCACTCCAAAAGTTTAGCCCTTCCGCATATGTTTTCACAAAATTTCACGACACGACTTTTGTCTTTCATTGTACACACACTAACACACCCATATAAAGAAGCACTAATGTGATCCATACATGGGGAGGTACCACTGGAGACAGTGGAGGAAAAGTGGTGATGTAAAAAAGAAGAAAAAAGGATGGATTTAATTAGTTGTTCATAGAACCTTATACTGGTGGGAGGTACCACTTGGGGAATGTATAGAGCATCTCCCTCACTCATCCACTGAAGATTGATAGCTGTGCACCTAAACACCTCAAGATATATCACAATACGTACCTTCATTACCACACAAACATGTGCCTATATTTGCATAATATGTTTACTGTGATATAAACAATTTAGTGGTAATGAAGGTATTGTGGTATATCTTGAGGTGTTTAGGTGCACAGCTATCAATCTTCAGTGGATGAGTGAGAGAGATGCTCTATACATTCCCCAAGTGGTACCTCCCACCAGTATAAGGTTCTATGAACAACTAATTAAATCCATCCTTTTTTCTTCTTTTTTACATCACCACTTTTCCTCCACTGTCTCCAGGTGCCATGGTAAGCAAGAGGGAGGGGGGTACTCAGTGCTTGCTTCAGTCTTCTTGCTAATCCGGGTAATATCTCAGGTACTTTTTCAACTAGGAAGCCAAAGTCTGGACTCAATAGTCACAAAGAGCTTTGGCATTCTTATGATTAATTACTTTTTTAGTCACACCATTAACTGCCCCTTCCTCATCCTGTTCCAGGTGTTGCATGAAGTGCGGGGAGGTGAACAGTACTTCCCTTTCTTTTAAATTTGTGCCTTTGTTTGCCTATGTATTTCTCTCAACTGTAGGCAAAATGTGCAACTGGTTTATACTTATTAAAATTTATCATGTTGTTAATTTACATCTATTTTGTTTTTACTTCACATCAACTAGTTGCTCATGTGTGTATTACAGGTACAATACTGTACAGTATCTAGTCCTTCAAAACCACATGTATGGTTGCTTCCACAACTTTAGAAGCATCCAGAAGTATAAGAAAGAGCAGTGGATGAGTGGAACAAGTTGCCAAACATCAACATTAACTTGAATACGCTGGATAGCTTCAAATATAGGTTGGATGAATATATGAGCGATAGGAGTTGGGTGTAAATGGAACTGCCCAGTATGGGCCAATAGGCCCGCAGCAGTTTCCTCCATTCTTATGTTCTTATACCGTAATATATAATTCAGAGCATGTAGCATATAAAAATCAGTCCGCCTGTTTAAATAACATATATAATACCTAAATGCCTCAGTGTCAACTCTTTGCTATTTATGATCATCATCCACTTTTCATTATAAAAAAAAGAGATATGTATGCCAAAAATATTCTCAGTTTTAACTAAATCATTAAAAAATTCTAACATATGAAACACTGTACGTAAATATTTTTAATACCTGTATCCAGTAAATCTCTGCAATTTTACAAGGTCAAAAGTTTTAAACATTAAAAACAAGACTGGAACCCATGGACAGGGTCTGCTCCATATACAACATGACAAAAAAGTGCCTTGATACATGCCCAACATCAAATAAGAGACATTAATCATGTTGATACCCATACTCTGAAGCAAAAGCAGGGAGGACTGAGAAGAAATATTAAATCTTAAGGAAGTGAGATACAACCTGCACTGTTAAATCTAGAAAAGAGGTCAACTGGTCAGTGAATAAATATGGAAAATGTATTTATTTAGGGTATATATTTCTAAGAGCTTATTTGTAGAATTTATAAATGGAATACTGTTGTAGTTTGTACAGTATACCACCACTTCAGAATATGGGATCAGAGTTCCTTTATAATTATTCTGACCTTGTTTTCAAGTTCGTCGTCCTTAATTTGTGAAAGGTGCATAAGAAGATGCATGGTAAAAGATAAATAAATGAGTAGTAAGATTAATGTTTGGGGATGCTGCTTTTATAAATGTATCTACATCACAATTTTATCGTAACATCTACAGTACACTATATAGAAGAACCATGACAGCTTCAACTTGTCTTTTGCCAAGTTGGTAAAGGTCAACTGCATTAAGCACAAAAAAGAAAAAAGAAGTAAAGAGTTCAATTCAAACTACATCAACATTATTCATCCAAAACAGACAGGTGACATAAATATGTAAAATATACTGTAACATGAGGTTGCAGCACTCCCTAAACAATCCCTGGCCAATTTCAAGCAATAATCAAAGTTTTGTTATTGTTTAATTTCAATGCATTTTATTTACATCAATCAAGGCAACTTCTTTGCTGCATATCAAAGATTACTTTTATGAATAAACTAATAAAAATCATGAACAAATTAACATTACAAAAATCTTCAGCTTGGCACAAATCAAAACTTTGATTAATGCAGCCTCTTACCATTTTCATAATCAGGCAACACCCCACAATGACACAGCATACACAAGTAACTGGGAAACATGTGCATATGAAATAAGCACACTAAGCTAAATAATGAAAACAAAAACTAGAGTACAGTACAGGCATTTTCCAGAAAGGTAACTAATTTCCTTTAAAAAATAGAGGTCACTGTTCTTCTTCAAAATTAGTGACACACAGTAATAAGACTTCTTGGGGGAAGAGGCACAGCAGAAGAAGTAACAAAGAAAGTTGAGCCTGAAGTCAGTAATTTATAACTACGTACTGTATTATAAACTTTAAATGCTGACGAACAAATAAATTAATACAACCAATAAGAATGTGAGTAAACAGGAATAAATAGATAATTCAAGTTTAATTCACCAATAAAATATGGGATTTCAGTTGCTACTGATGTCAACAGCAACATTATGAATTGTAAAAGATCTTGTCTCAAGCTCAGTAATCTTATCTATCTAGTCTATCAGTGTTTCCCTTTACCCCAATCATATTCAATTCTCAACAGTATTAACATCATGTAAGTACCGTATGTGCCATCTTGGATCAGGGGAAAACAAACAAACTATGAGATATAGATGGTACATCACATTTTATGAGATGAATAGTTTTGTATGTATATAATGCTCCCAAAATGAGTACATTATAACTCCTTATCTGAGCCAAGAATGTGCCCACTAATGCATGCCCCATCTAGTTGCCCTCCTATCCCAGCCCTCACCAGATGAGACTAACTTAGGCCTGGGTCCACAGTCGCAGTAAAAAAAAAAAAAAAAAATGAAAATTAAAGTAAGCTTTTATTTTTAAATCATGTACCACCCCTTGACAAAATCCCAGCATTACATAGCCCCACTAGCTCACATATCATAATTGTTTGGTAACAAACCAATTCAACAAAATTTGCCTAACTACAAGTATATGCACATCAACTGGGCCTGTGTATCTCCAACACAAGCCTCCCTAATGTCTAGTATCATAATTATAACTTCTAAAAAACAGGAAGAGGATTATGGTATACAACCAGGAGATGAGACAGTGTAGGTCCTCACCAGGTGTGAGGTGGTAGAACACTGAAAATGGTGGATTAAACCAAATTTATTTTAGCGCAGTCTGACAACAGCCGGTGAAAGTATGTGTATCAAGTGATGCCAGGTACTCATAATAGGCATTCTGCTTTGAATGATGTCTTTGGCATTTAAGTTAGGAAGATGGCTGTTACAAGAAGGGATTAACTAATTATGTGATTTTTAATAATTTGATTGGGTGATGATTAACTGTAAAACCAGATGCCCGCCCACCAGTCCCAGGGCGACCTAAGCCACCTTGCTATAGTGCTTTTCATCACAACAATAATGAAAATAAATTAAACAGCTTAAAAATCAAAATATTCATGGAAAGAGTCATCTAAAGAATGCTAAAAAAATCAATTCTTAACTCCAAACACTTTTTGCTTTATCCTGCTATCAAAATGGAGGTTGAGACATCAGAATAAAAAACTGTGGAAAAAAGAATGAAACTACAGAAGTCACTCAAACAGCTTGACGATCTACTCAAGTATTTCAGGGACGCACCTAACGAAGCCTACACAGTAGATACTTTTTTGTTACAAATCAAGCTCACAAACACTTGTAGGAAATAAGTACAAGTGCAGAAAGAGGTGCAAATCAATATCACCCACATAATATGTAGAAGTGGCAAGTGAAAAAATTCCTACTCAGGGTATTCCTCCTCAAGTATACATACACAGTACTGTACAGTATATATCATTGGGTGAAAACAGACAATCTATAAAAACAAATAACCAAATTAGGCACCTCATTTAGGTTTTATTCAATTACATTCACCTAACAACTAAATACTGTATCTGAACTCAAGTAGTCCTAGGAACATAAATCTTTCTTAAGGTGGCCTAAAGGAATAACAGTGGTGTGAATAATCCTAGCTCTTGTTCTAGCAAATGGAAGGGTTATTTGGCGGTATGCTCATAAATAGGTGCAATTTCTCCTCTGATAAGATCTCACCCCCTAAATATGTATATAACCGTCTTAATGTAATGTTGAAGCTCATTTCATACTTAAAAGTGATGTTCACAAGAAACCCATTGACTTTCCCTTACAGACTAAAAGGAACTACAGTACAGTACTCAGATATCCTTCAATCTCATAAAATTCAGAAAAAATACTACTAAAGATTTCCCCCAAAGGAGTTATAAACAAATACTTTGCTATTATTTGAGAGTACTGTTCATAGTTGAGAACATACATACAAACACTGAAACAAATGAACATATACACATAAGAAAACATGAAACAGCTTGATGTGTGCACATCCAAAGGCATACACAAAAAAGTGCACTACATATTTTCATATTTTTATGCACTCACACACACACACACACATGACAATATTTGTATAATTGTAAGTGAACTAATGTCAAGACACACATACACACAATGTGCATAATTGGATGTATATAAAAATATACATATGTATCCAAATGCAAATATAAACATAGATGTCGGAACTATTGTGCACACATGCAAACACACATACTCAATGTCTATTACACAAATACAAATACAGGGGTGTATACAATGAAACAGACTCACACATGTATGCAAGTATATAAACTTGTAGACATGCATATACATATAACTTGCAAGCACACATGCATGCACAGACATAAACATCTTTCACATTAGCATGCATACATGCAATACTGGTGCATAATTATTTCTTATACACAGAAATTCATGTGCTGTTTAATGTTTTTTAATGAATTGAAAAGATGTTCATATAAATGGTAAAATCTTTACCACAAATGTACAGCAACAGGAAGCTAAAGAGTACCATAGAGAGCAAACATAGTGGGCCATATACTCCAACTCATATTCTGGTGCATAAAGCATGGTATAATCCTCATGTTTAAGCAGAACTAAGAACTTTACACAAGGAGTGCATTACTTGACAAACAAATTATGGCTAGCCACAAATATGACTATTCAAAAGGACTATACAAGAATGATACATTACAGTAAGAAAGATGGTTAAATACTGATGTACTGTAAAATACAAAAAAAATACCCTCTCCTGGTACACAGCAGCTGGTAGTTGTAATAAGGCATCACCTTGCAAGAAGGTACACCATAGTTTTAAGGGTATGTACCATATAGGTACTGTGAGTTACCTTCACAAATAAATATATTATCAACAACTTTTAACTCTGGAAAAAGTTACCAGACAGCTGTAACTAAGAATTTAAAAACTATCTCAAATACCTGATTAACTTTGAGATTAGCAGAGTCAGGGGTCTGTACTGTGGCAGAGTTTGCTGTTGGCTTTATCTGCTGCTTTAAGGTAAGCATGAAATAGTAAAGGAAATAAAGTGATGTTATTTAATGTAAAGTAAGAATAAATAATGAGAGTCACATTGAGTATTAATTGATTAAATTATGATATAATTTATTAGCATCTCAAGCAAATAGGAAAAACTATTTCAAGTTTCTTGAACAATACATTTTATCAGTACTGAGCCTTAGCCTGAAATACAACTGTTACTCCAAAAACATTAAAAAGAAAACTCTGACTTAACAAAGGATACATTTTTTAAAAGAAGAATGAAGAATATAGACAAAGGAATAAGAATTGTTAACGAACTTGTAACACAGATAATGTAAACTGTACCATACTGTACAGTATATAGTATCTGTGTTACAAGTAATGTGCAATGCAAAAATAATATAACCATTACATAACCTACTTATATTGACTCCTAAGATAGCATTTTACACTAAATTATCAAAATGAACTGTAACTGCTAAATGATTGCGCACAGCACTCAAGGCAATTAGACTTACCAGGTATATATCTGATAACACAATGACTTACTTATACTTTCTTATCAAAACTGTTTCAATATTTAAATGTCATTTTTATCTTACATTAATAGAAACAAGATGACATATCTCCCAGGCTATGGTGAATTATGCAACAAACACTGATACAAAATTATCCTATTAAAAGTGTTATGAGATACACTATACATCCCTATACTGTACACCATGTGTACCTTGTGGCATGAATATCAGAGGCATTGGTCACACTTACCTATGATGCAAAGTCAAAGATTTTTTTTTTCAAACATGATAATTTTACTTAATAACCACATACTGGGATATGAAATGTTTAATGTCACCAAAAATATCAAGAATCTTATGTCATATAAATATAAATCTTGTAATATTAATATAACACAAAAAACTGGTGTGTGTGTGTGTGTGTGTGTGTGTGTGTGTGTGTGTGTGTGTGTGTACCCTTCTGGATACTGGCACAAATGAGCATCCTGAAAGAAGAACTGCCCTTGTGGCAAAAGGTATGACATTGACATAGCAACCATTAGTGAGTCCCAGCTCCCAGATAAGGGTCAACTCACAGAACGGGGGTCTGGCTATACCTTCTTCAGGAAGGGTAAGACTGCTGCAGAGAAAAACCGCATTTATGGAGTTGTCTTTGCCAATGGCCATCGCATCCTACACAGGCTAACTGAAATGCCTATTGGGATCAATGAGTGCCTCATGACGCTCCAAGTCCCACTGAATCAATCACGTCATGCCTTTTTCATCAGTGCATACACCCCAACACTGGATGAAGAGGATGACATCAAGGAGGCCTTTTAAGATGACCTTGATAGAGTGCTAACCTCTATCCCCAGAGAAGACAAGGTTGTGCTCCTTGGTGACTTCAATGCCAGAGTTGGCAGAGATGCTAACATTTGGAAGGAAATCATAAGAAGAAATGGACTAGGCAAGCGTATTCCCAACGGTCTACTCCACATCAGCAAGTGTGCTGCACACAATCTCACTATCACCAATACCTTGTTTAGGCAGGCCGACAAGTTGAAGGGTTCATGGCAACACCCACGATCCAAACACTGGAATCTCATTGACTACATCATTGTCAGAGACAGAGATCACAGAGATGTCCTCATTACCCATGCCATGCATGGCTCAGACCACTGTGAGACTGATCATCGGCTTTTCAGAGCCAAGCTCTCACTTCATGTTGCCTCAAAACGGCGAAGGCAGCAAGCCTCCAGAAGAGGTTTTAACACTAAGAGTTTCAAGAATCCTGATGTAAAACATGCTTTCAGAGAACAGCTCAAACATGGGCTGATAAACAACCCAACAGCAAACAATGCAAATCCCAGTGCCGAATGGGATATTCTCGACACTTTCATGACAAAAACCTGCACAGAGACCCTCGACCAGATCGAAAGAATACACCACAACTGGTTTAATGAATATGACCCGGCAATCAAGGTACTCATCGATGATAAACATGCTGCTTTAACTGACTGGCAGAACAAACCTCAGTTTCAGACCAAAGCTGATACCTTCCGCAAGAAGAAAGCGGGGGCCCAGCGAGAACTTCGCAATCTAAAGAACTGGTTTAAAAATACAGCATGTGAAACACAAAAATTTGCAGATCAGCACAAGATGCACAAATTTTTCAGTTCCACTAAAACATTTTATGGGCCAAACACTCATGGCGCAGCCCCCCTCCGCTCATCCGACAGTAATTCCATAATTAAAGACGATGAAGGCCTCCTTCAGCGCTGGAAAGAGCACTACCATTCACTGCTGAACTGAAACACCTATGTGGATTCCTGACTACCCAGCAGGTGCTTCAGCATCCAGAGCTGACCCACCTCAGCTATCCTCCATCCCTGGATGAGGTAGCTACTGCCATCAAACAGAAGAAAAATAACAAAGCCTCAGGGCCTAATGTAATCCCAACCGAGGTGTATAAAGCAGGAGGACCTCTGCTTACCACCCGTCTCCACTCTCTTGGAGAATATATGGGAAAAGGAGGAAATCCCACAAGCTCTTAAAGACACCTCCACCGTCAATATTTATAAGAACAAGGGAGACCGGACAGACAGTGGAAACTACCGCGGGATCTCGCTGCTGTCTATAGCAGGCAAGATTATTGCACAAGTCCCAAGTCCTCCTAAACAGACTTCTTCCTGAGGTGGAAAACTTCCTCCCAGAATCTCAATGTGGCTTTAGACCATCGTATGGCACCACTGACAGGACCTTTGCTGCCAGCCAGATACAGTACAGGAAAAGTGCAGAGAACAGCGTCGTGACCTGTATATGGCTTTCATCGACCTAAAAAGGCCTTCGACTCGGTCAACAGGGAAGCCCTCTGGTGGACCCTCAGCCGTTTTTGGTGCCCACCAAAATTCATTGCCATTGTGAGGCAACTCCAAGATGGCATGAATGGCAGTGTCCTGCACAGCGGCACCCAGTCTGTGTTCTTCCCCCATCCAAACAAGGGTTAAACAAGGGTGTGTACTGACATCAACTCTCTTTTTCATTTTCTTGGCTGCCTTCCTTACTCGTGCCAGTGCCAATTAGCTGACGGGGTGGACATCAAGTACCGTGTGAAGGGGGGTCTTTTCAACATAAGACGACTCCAGGCAAGAACAAAGGTGTCGCCAGCTTCCATTACTGAACTTCAGAATGGAGATGACCTCATCCTTGTTGCTCACACTGAACACGACCTACAGGAGATCCTGAACACCTACGCAGATGCATATGCACACTCTGGCCTTGAGGTGAATGTACGTAAAAGTCAGATTCTCTTTCAATCTGACCCTGGTTCACACACACCTCCACCATCCATCCAGTTTAATGTAACCCACTTTCGGTGTCTCGGCTTCCACCTGTCCACCACCGCAGACATCGACGAAGAGATTCAGCATCGGATCTGATGTGCATCCCAAGCCTTTGGCAGACTCCGAAACCGTGTCTTCAGCTGTAGGGAGCTGAAATTATCTGTAAAGTTGCACTTATATTGAGCAATGGTCCTTCCCACCCTACTATACGGCAGTGAGACATGGGTCACATACAGGAGGCACCTCAAGGCACTTGAAAACTTTCAACAACGTAGTCTACGTTCCATCCTTTGTGTTTGCTTGGAAGACAAGAGAACAAATGCCAGTATTCTTGCTGACACCATCTGTAGGAGCATCGAGGCTACCATTATCCATGAACAAATACACTGGACTGGCCATGTTATCCTCATGGACGACAGTAGACTGCCAAAGCAGCGATTTTACAGTCACCTAACGAATAATAAACGTAACGCTGGTGGGCAACTGAAAAGGTTTAAGGATAGTCTTAAGATAAACCTGAAAAAGTGCCTAATGGACCCCCTCACTTGGGAGACGATTACTCCAAACTGTAACGCTTGGAGGTGCACCTCACGAGAAGGTGTCAATACTTTCGAGTTACCCCGACTGCAAACCGAGGCAGACAAGCGCCAACGCCGTTAAGACGCTGCCACCGCCCCTCCCGCACTAGATGCAGCCCTCCACATGTGCAACGAATATGAACGACTCTGCTGGTCCCGTATTGGCCTCTTTAGTCACCTCAAAACTCACCAACATAGGTGACATCCCTAATAACTCATATCATTGTATCATAGCTGGATGATCGTCATACTCGATTCCAAGTGACAGCAAAGTAGTAGTAGTAGTAGTAGCAGTAGTAGTGTGTGTGTGTGTGTGTGTGTGTGTGTGTGTGTGTGTGTGTGTGTGTGTGTGTGTGTGTATGTGTGTATGTAAGTATGTGTGTGTATGTAAGTATGTATGTGTGTGTGTGTGTGTGTGTGTGTGTGTGTATAATAATAATAATAATAATAATAATTAACGGTTTATTGAAAGAGCTTGGCAGCCAGAAGGCTGAAAATATACAGTTACATATTTGTGTGTGTGTGTGTGTGTGTGTGTGTGTGTGTGTGTGTGTGTGTGTGTGTGTGTGTGTGTGTGTGTGTGTGTGTGTGTGTGTGTGTGTGTGTGTGTGTGTGTGTGTGTGTGTGTGTGTGTGTGTGTGTGTGTGTGTGTGTGTGTGTGTGTGTGTGTGTGTGTGTGTGGGTGTGTGTGTGTGTGTGTGTGAGGAAAAGATGGATAGATTCACTCAAGTGTAAACATCTTCCTACCTGCACAGTACCTTCTACAATATACTGTATACACCATTTATATATTTTTTTGGGAAATTTCCTGGAAACTTGATGGATGATTTGATGTAAAAGAAAAAAAATTGCAGTTAGAGGGAATCAATGCAACAGACCCATCTTGGCACATGCTTATCATCCATTCATATAAAAGGTCCATCATTTGTATGAATTTGTAAGAAATTCCAATGAAAAGTTGCACACCTGTTGGTTTTACATAATGTACTTATAATTACTGTACAGACAAATAACTTTCAATTATAGACAGGCAATTTTTTATTACAAACAGGCATACATTGACAAGCAGCTACATACACATTGATAGCTATATCCACTCTCCCCACCTGGACTGACCAATGCCAGGGGATAGCAACATTTGCAATGGCTGCTCATGAAGTTTGTAAAGGGTAAAGTGAAAACTAATGCAACAGAAAGTTTGTTCAATGAACTATAAATCTACACTGAGATTTATAAGTAAATGTGTCCTTCACTTAATTAAAGTGTTCTCACTCTTAATCTATTAATTACTCTATTCTGGTTTTCTCCACAGGAAGATATTCTTACTGCTGCCAAGGGAAATTTGAAAGTCTAAAGAAACTGAGTGTGTGAGTTTCCATCATCATCATTTCATGGCCATATTCCACGTTTATGTGGGTTAGCCATGGTTGCCTGATGGCAGTTGGCCATGCTGCATTGTTTCTTGCAGTCTCTCTTGCCAGGTTCTTAAATCTAATGTCATTTTTTACAACCTCTCCTCATGACATTCTTGGCCTGCCCCTGGTGCTCCAACCCTCCACATTTAGATTCATGCATCTCTTGACCCAGTTGGTCTTATCCACCCTCTCCAGATGCCCAAACCGTTTCAGCAGGCATGTTTATTAATATAAATAAGATTGCAATAAAGAGATTTTCTGAAATAACTGCAAAGAAAAAATACTAAGAATATTTTCCCAGAGTTGCAATGACTGGTAAAAGAATGAGATAATAATAAGCTTTTGTAAAGGATTAAGAAACATATCACTTTACTGAATAAATAAATCCCGATCTCAGTTATATGAACCAGGGGAGTTATGAACTCTCTATAATCACTGTAAGCCCCTCCTTTCCTTCTTATCTGCAATGTTTCACTCATCTCTCAGAGGAAGGCCACAACAGTAAAGCCTCCAAACTGCCCTACTAATACATTTCTCTGACATCTTTATTCCCCTTATCCCTTCCCACAATTTCTCCATAATGTAACTGTTCCATGCCAGAATTATATTCTTTTTCTTTTAATACCTCATCTAAATCCTCCAGTTTCTGTATATAATCTTATATAATCTGTATTTTCCTAATTTTTTCCAGTATTTCCTCATTTCCCTCATCCCTGTTTCTTTTGACTCATAAGTCTTTCTCATTCTCATCAAATACCAGACTCTGATCTCAGTTTGCCACTACAGTATTTATCTTATTCCTTTTGCATTTTTCACATGTTTTTTATCCTCTTAACCATGTTATCAGAGTGGCAGACAAATTTTTTTTTGTTACTACAGTACCACTAAACAAAGGAATGTCAGAAACAGAAACACATCGGTCTCAAGTCTAATCATTGGAGGCTTCCGATTAAGGGATATCTGGTGAAGGGAGACTGCTGTACAACCTTTATGTTTTAAATAAAGGATAAACTTAAGCAAACTAGAATATTACTTATTATTTTGGTCATCAAATATACTGTACGTACTTCATAAATGAACTAACTGCTCCAAGGCACGATACTGTATAAGTAACATGTGAGTGCATGCCTATGTATATAATAAAAAAATAAATAAAAAATAAAAAAAATAAAATCAACTTGTACACACATATACAATAAATTACATCCTGTCCCTAAGCTGGGATACGATTGATATATTTTGAAGCTGTACTGATATTCATGTACATACTCAGACCATTGATAGCCTAGTCTAATTGTTCAACTGAAAAAGAAGAGACATTCAGCAAGGATCTGTCTCATAAGACACTGGATTATCCCTCAGTACCTCAGTATTAAAACAGTAAACATCAATGCCATAATGAAAATGGAGATCAAGAAACAAAAAGAAACTATTTTCTCCTTATAATTGATCATAATCATTTCACTTGCAATTTGATACCACCAATAATCAGACAGCCCAAACTTGTGTGATCTATAACAAGAAGTACACAAAAGACACTCATAAAACATAATATTTCAATCAAACTGGATAAAAGGCACAATTAAAAACCAAAGAAAATTTTCCCAAAACATACAAATGGTTAGTGGGTTAATCCTGATTCTTGCAGCGACTGTTGTACAAGGTCATCATTATCTACAAACATCAAAATATAAACTTAAATACCAATTACCTTTGTAACATTTCTAGGGATAGTTTGCCAATTACAGCTAGTATCTAACTTCATGCAAAAAGCATAGCACATAACACTCTTGGCAACTGTTTCCCTGCATTCCTTAATAAACATCAATCCAAAATGTATGTTAATATTATATCAAAATTTTGTCAATACTGTACTGTAAAGAGAAAACACCTGTGTGGCCTCACATCTCTGGTAAATAAGGTCACAACTATAAAAATCATCACTAATATATATATATATAAAGGATACCCTTCACCACAATGTCTAATGCAGTCAAGCACTCAAGCAACCCATCACCTCCAAAAAGTCGCAATCATAAGAAAGTCATGTCTTCCACCACCGATAAAAATATATAAAGTAATAAATGTCAGTGGTACCTCCTCTTTATAATCTTCAGGGGCTACCACTTGTTCCTCTGGCTCTGACTGCTTTTCTCCTACTGCCACCTGCTCCTCCGAAGCAGCCACCACAACGCTCTGTTCCGCAACATTGTCTCCAGTACTTGTAATAAACTGCCGTAGCAGAAAAATGATGGTGGTGGCAGTGTTTTGGCAGGTAAGTTCAGTTAAGTGAAGAACAAAATGTATTTTCTGGTTGTACTAAAATTATTTCAGCCACATGTTAAAAGACAAAGAACCACAAAAAGACAATTTAAAAATTCTGTTATTATTAGCCCATTACTAAAGTGTTGTACAGTATTCTGATAAATCTGAAAATAATCATTACTTTAACTGATTCCAAAAGTTTGTTCCAATTCTCAAAAAAAAAAAAAAAGAGGCCCATAATGTGGATATTACACACAGAAATAATACACAGTGTGTTGGGGAAACCCATCCAGTTGCAATACGAAACACATAAATTAATAAAGACAATTATCATAATTTCTTTGATATGTGTATGATTTTATGGAATATTTAAAATGTTATTTCCAAACTTGTATGACATATTTCATGCTAATAATCTTGTATAATCAACATCTTTCTTCAGTTACTAAAACCCGATGTTTAAGCTTAGTGCAAACTACTCATAACTTCTACTATGAGTATTCCAGTCCTAGGCTTCTTCATTACAATATTATAAATGCAACATCGATGCTCTAACATGTTATACTGTTCTCAAGTTCTCTCATAATAAAACATATTATATTTTCAAGTTTTGTAATATGTACTGTATTCCCTGTTTTGCCTAAAGCAACCTAAGATTTTTGTGTTCTCACAGCCTAACTAAAAAGCTTCAGCAAAATTTATACCACCATTTTTTTTAATGAAATGCCCAATACCCAAGCTCCAATACAGCACCACCATTTCCAAGCTCCTTTTTTTCATGCCTATTGCACTAATTTTTCATTAGTAAATCACAATTTAAATACTTTTCTTTTAATAAATTTTGTTTTGTTTATCAGCAAGCAATATACAGTATAAATATAGTACCTGTATATGCTTTCCTGCTGGACATGAGAATGGATACATACCTGATAACTTAGAAATTTTGATTTTTTCACTGATTTCTTTAAAATGTTCATAAGAGTAGTACTAGTAAGACACTACAGCCTTTAATTATTTGTGATATTACACAAATCTATTACCTTTACTTACATTCAGAAGTGAAGATGAAATTCTTCAATTCAAGAAAAATGGCAATAACTTGTACATCAAATTTTCATGACCTACTGAAAACTTAAGGAAGACATTTAATACACTCTGCTATACCTGATTAGGAAGAAGTTCAACGTAATTGGATGGGAAGATACCACAGTTCTGGTTGATTACTCCGTGCCACCAGTCTCCCTCCTTCTTCACTACTAAGATAACTTCTCCAGCATTAAACGTCAGATCTCCTGGTTCTCCTGACTGTACAAGAGAGATTAATGTAAATAACCTGTACAGGCTACCAGTTATCAATCTTGAGCAACAGCCCTCAACCTTCTGTCATCTGCAGAACAACTTACTAAAGACAGACTCTCACATAGTAGTTACACCTACACAATATTATCAATTCTATGATGTACAGTACATCTATCAAGCAAATTTTTTTAAATCAATCTTAGTAAACGGATATTAATTCAGTATACTGTAATACATGTGTGTGTGTGATGGACATGACTTAAAAATAAAACAATAATTTTGGCAGCAAAACAGATAAAGAATTTAAGAATATTAAAACAAGGTGAAAATAGGCAGAATCACATCATATTGCTGCAGTATTTCAAACATATTTTAGTACTGTATGTTTTTAGTTTTCCTACGGTATTCTGCCAAGTGCTTTGTAGTTCTGAAGTACGTACGGTAATAAGAAATACTTGAGATACTGGCGGGGAAGAAATTCAGCTTGACACCAAATTACCTAGAGCAGCATAAGTCTTAACAACACATTGCCTATCATGTAGTTACTAGTACACTATCTCAAATAAAAATGTACAGTATATGGAATCTGCAGTACTGAACAGGTAGTAAATAAATGTGGACCTTTGAGAAATAGATGAATTGAACCAGATTAGATTGTGATTGGATGACTTAAGCTGAGATTGGAAGAAGCTGATATTTTGTCAAAATTTTAACAGACACATATACAGTACTGTACTTTCTTTTGTGGCCTTACTTTTCCAATTTTCAATATCTATCCCAAGTGAAGAAATAAGAGCTCATCTGATTACTAAACCAATAGTCAAAACTAACATATCTCCCTCTTTGTGCACTAACATACCTGGTATGGGTATAAAGCCTGATAAAACTCTGACACTTCATCATGGACTAGGTTGTCAGGCATTGGAGGTTCCTCAGGGGCCTCCTGTGGGGTTGTCGCTGGAGATGTGACAGCAGCAGGACCCGACACCATTCGCACAAATGATCGGGGGAACCAACCCCCAACATTATTCAACTCGCCATACCACCATTGATCCTGAGAACAAAATAAAATATTTTTGGACCATTTGTACTTTAGTTTTATTAATCCATTATTACCATTTTCTTCACTATTCAAACCCTCTCCTGTTATACTACATAAGCTGTATTCCCATTAACTGGATAGAATCTACTTATGAGACTATGCATATGATATAAAGGACATCTTAAACATAATTTCTCCTTTAAATTTAGTAACCAAACAACTGACTACATTCTACTCTACTTACACACAATCTCCCTAATTCTGCCCTTCTTAATAAGTGATTATCAAACAGGGTTTACATAATATTTATATCACTTTAAACAAGTACACTACCTGTTTTTCTCTAACTGTAATACGATCACCCTTATTGAATGACAAGTGGTTTCTCTGCTTCGCTCTCCATGGGAACACTCCTACAGCATCACCTATCACCTTTTGTTGTCCGACCACAGCAGTTACAGCTTCTTCTGGGATATTCCTGTAAAGATGTATGTAACTTTTACAAACCATGTTTCTCAGTGTACTTTGATGTAAAGTGACTTACCTGCCTACTGTTTATGCACATATAAAAACCATTACCGGTAACTGCCATAAATGAGATAACAGTTGTACATTTCATGAGCAAACATTCCTTTGCCTTGCAACCTGAGGTTTAAATCATTCTTGTGGCCTAATACTTATATACCGGGTAACAAATGCATAATCACATAACCAGACCATCCAAGCAAAAATTAGTCCAGTACTACAAATTCAGACACAAAATATATTTTCAAAAGCATGGTAGATTACTTACTCTAACTGTGTACGGACAATAGAATCCGTTGCAGCTTCTGCCTCTTCTTTCTCATCAATAAGTTCAGTGTAATCTTTAGGGAACCACCCAGTCTGGCCACGAAGCTCGCCTCCAAGCCAACCTGGTTCCACTCCTTCGTGCAATGTTACCTGTCGTTTGAGGTTAATTTTAAGAACCTTATTGGTATGTACAATGTATCCAAATATACCATTGCAAAAATACCAACTAAAGACATATTATTAACTTACAACAACAATATCTCCTGGCATAATGCTAATTTCGTCATGGTTACGAGCATCAAACTGATACAGCACACGGCGACGTACAACACCCTCTGCGTTTTCTTTAGCTACTACTGGCTCCTTATTTTCAGGCTCATCTGAAGGAGACAGACCAAGATATAACTGATATAAAATATTTTACTACATAGCAGAATAAATTTAAGGCACAAACCCTAACAACAATAATCAAATCAACATATTTCTGACAACACAAAAATGTTACACCAGTAAAAAGAAAGAAATCAACACAATATTTAAGTGCAATATTCCACAATTATGTCATTAAATGGAAGACCACAACTACAGTATTTTTAAATAATTCACATATTCCTTGAGTTTTTCATAGGTTTTTGCTATCCCTATGGTTGTGTGTTTGGGTGTGAAACCTCGCTAATTTGAATACTGTATCATGAATTTGGGTTCTTCAATATTTGCATACTTTTGGTCAATCTAAAATTTTTCAGATCATTTGACCAGCAGTTGAAGGTGGTGTTGATCCCAAATTGTCAAGAAGTTTTACCAGGAGTTTATGTCCAGACTTGTTTTTGCAATACAGCATGTGAGTCATCTGAACCAGGAATTGAGTAATATCTCTAAAAAATTTTGAAAGAGCAGATGTACGACTAACAAGCTAACAGCCCATTGTTGATCACAAGAACCGAGCCTTTTCCCACTAATTGACAGAATGGCTGGAATTTATACCATATATAAACAAACATTCTTTCTTCATTCCTTATACTGTACCACAATTCCTTTATTATAACTGCAGTAATAAGGCAGCTATAACACTCCCTTTCTAAAATATGGCCTAAATATCCATCTGTTTACACCAAATGCTTTAAACAACCTGGCAACACCCACAACAGCCATTCCTGGTGGTGGTGTGAGTGATGAGTCTACTTTGAGGAGTGGATTGTAGGAGAAAGATGACACATTAAAAACTTATTTATAGACTTAATAACATGTGAGTATTAAAGAATGGAACACATATAGTACAGTAGTAGTAAAAATACTGCATTACAGTAGTTTAACATGTTTTCATTATAACTAATTAAATCTTTTCAGGACTTCAGGGTGCTCGCTCATAAATCAAAGCTTGGGACAGATTTTTTTTCATAGCTGTGAATTTTCGTGTCAAATCCTCGTAAATCATTGTCTGCCTGTAGCTTTACAAAGTAGTGTTTTAAAGTAGGTGACTTATTATAGAAAATATTTGTAAAATCATTACCCACGATTTACTATTACAGCACGTACTGTAGTTTGGAGTTTGGAAAAACACGAGTTTCTAAAAAAGATTTGCAGTGCTTTGCTCCCTTCAGCTGTGTACACATGGCATGAGGCTCCCTGGCTAGCCCACTGCCCAGAAGACTCACTCACTCGCTCTCTCCATCCCACTAACTACCCAACTTTACCACATTTTGTTACCAAGCCTTGATGTGTTGCTGCTTGGTCTCTAGTGACTACAGTACTGTAATACTAGTGTATCCAATGTCTTATGAATACAGTATTTGTTCCTGTATATTCACTTAGGACTGAGTTTGGAGTCTACTGGAAATTTTTCATCTAATATGATTTTTCTTAACATAAAACGTTCTTGGAATTTATCTACTACTTTAAGTTAAGGTTACTCGTACAGTATTATGCATAATTGTGAATACTGCAACACAGGACTGAATACAATGTCACATATACATGCTGTACTGGAGATATTCTGATTGATACCCAAATCCAATCAAATTTGCGAGGTTTCAATTCATATATTGTATACATGTATAACCTTATTGCTTCTAATATCAGATACAAGTTTACATTACTATTTATAGTGCCTTATCATTATTACATTGTTATCTACTTTATTTGACAAAACAGTACAATATAACTTACTATAACCTTTCCATGTTGGTAACAGCACTTTACCTTAATTTAATAACTACTGATTGATTAAATGATTAAACTATAGATACTTTAATTAAGCATTTACAGGTAGGTGTAATTAGAAAATTGTGATACAACCAATTTTAATTAATTTTTACCAGTAATCTGACTGACGGTTGAACCGACTAATCAAAAAAGAAAAAACTGGGCCTCCTGATTATTCCTGTTTCACTATGGTAATTCCAAATACATTTGACCTTTATAACTTTTGCAATAATCTCGTCTTGGTAGAAAAAAAAAAGAACAAATATTCTAACAGTTAAACAATTAAATTGGCATTAACAAAAATGCCACATGAAAATTTCTTATATGTGATACATACCGGCACTGTACCGAACACATTAACCACATACGTACTGTATCTCCAGAGACTAAATCACTGATGATTAGTTACACATAAATCACTGAACTATAAAATTTATCAGCTTGTTTTCATTACTGATAAATATTCCTTGCCCACATATTCTCAGACTTAATACTTCTGAGTACAGTATATTTAATATCAGGAATAACTTGTTGCTAAATACCTTGGGCATGAAATTATCTGGAAAAACACCTTGCCGAACTTCCCCCAGTACAGTATAACCTTTATCATGATTTATTGTATGAAAGTATTTTCCACTATATTATACAACTTCATATTTTATTTTTATCTCACATTCATACTCCTTCATTTAGATTCATCGTACAACATGCATCTTTTAATTCTTAGTATACTGTAAAAATCATACCTAAAAAAGCACAAAGGTTCTTGGCCTGTCCTTTTTTATCATATAATGCTATATTTAAACTCAACCTTAAATGGTAATCTCATACATCCCCAACTTTCCCCCTTTGATGATTTTTTTTCTTTCTCTACATTTCTCAATAAACATAAAACTTTCTTTTCCCTTGTTACTCTTTGATCTAAAATATCTCACTCCATCCATTTCATCTCCATTCACACTAACGTCCAAATTTCTGTCTCCCTTCTCTACTTATTTCCATCATTACTTTTGTTCACCTATATTATTGTCTTTCTCCTGCCACACAACTCTTTTACCGAGTCTCACATTTTATTCTTGATCGGTCAAGTGAGTAGTGCACTCTACAAATATCAACTCTCTCACCTCCTACATGATTCCCATATCAATATTCACTAAATGTGTTCCCCCTCACAAAAAAATAATTAATTAAGATACTTTTGAGATACCAACTAAAGATGACAGCCTTAAGAAATAAATAATCCCCCAAACTACTACAAGAATATTGAGTAGGACAGAAAATAACTAATAAGATATTATGCCTCTGACATAAAATGCCTAACGTACAGACCTATAATGAATCGGCATATTTAGTTACATTAGTCAACCCAACACTCACTCACTCCTGACTAACTGACAATGTTCTTTATGCAATAAGGGAGCTTTTAAAAAATTTTCTATTTTATGTGCTCCTTGGAATATGATCACTTGTTCTATAAGAATTAAAAATGACATAAAATCACAGCCTCATTATCAAAAGTAGTGGCCATTTCCACTCAAAACTTAACTATCAAAGATATAACTGACTTAACTCTGGAAAACTAAAAGTCCTTAAAGTTATAAAGATACTAAATACCCCATAAAGTACTGTATCTCATTATATGCAGAGCATCACTCATTTTACCACATACTGTACTGTACTGTACAAAACAACTTCATTATTGGTTGTATCACAGGTTTTTCATGATTTATAAAAGACTTTAGAAGGTAAGATTTAAACTATCATAATTACTTACTGGCAAAGGAAACACTAATCAATATCACGATGAAAAGGTCATGAGAAAAATGTTAGCTAAGGGAAGTATTTCATTAGAATGTTGATTAGTAAAGGAAGAATATATTATTTGTACAACAACAAAGTTACTACTATTTTTTTATAGAATTAATTGACTGTACAGTGCTCTATTTTTTTCTTTGTCTTTGTTAGATTTCATATTTTTGTTCTTTCATGAGAACATCAAAGATTTTATCGATAAATACTGTAAAACCAAAAGTAACTATGATCCCAAAGAAGAAATTCTCAACTTGATCATCAATTAAATTTTGTTTAGAAAAAGAGGCATTCCTTTTCATAATCCTGAAAATATTACAGTAGCAAATCTGATTGTTTACATATTAATTATTACTGCATTAATTAAAGAATTCCTGCATAAGAATAAAATTGAGGAACTCACAAACCTTAATTTAAAAGCATATACTCTGTACATGCAATTTATTTTTATATAAATTGAACAAGATATGCCAATAGAGGTAGTAAGGCATTTACCTAAGATTAGTTTATGGTTACTCATCTAAATCCTAGAAGCAACACTCGTCAAATTCTAGGAGTCTAATATTACACCCACTTTAATTAGCTCATACAAATATAAAATCTGTTACTGTAATTATATGGTGGGTATTACTGTACAGTACTTTAATAATTTGGTCAAAAGTAATTGTATACATACATTATATGCTTCCAAACCATCTTTGTTAAGGATATCAGTCAAGTTTATGTTAATGAAGATAATGTAGACCACTAAGTATCTGTATATCACTGATTGTTACTTGTCTAAAATATTCTCTCTACTGTATTCACTAATCTCAATTTAGCCTCAGACCAACAAACATACCAGCCTCACCTACCTAACCCAATAAAGTGCCCGAGACTTTAGTTCCACAAAATTCCTCTCTAAATGTGTTGCAATCCACATCAACAACCACACAAAAAGACTTTCACTGAAGATTGTCCCCTGGATATAATTCATTATATGATATCCATTTGTGCTACAATTATTACTGCTCAGTAAAGGTATTTTATTAGGTCAAGACCAAAGCAATTTAATCAAGTCCTTCCTCATCATCCTTATCTCATTCGTAATGCAAAAGTATAAAGTTTTGCTTTTTAACATGATGTATCTGAACAGTTCAGAAATATAACTTATATAAATAACAGCAAGTTTTGCAATTTATTAAAGCAAATACTGTATAAGAAATGTACCATGTCAAAAAGCATGTATACCTGTACTTGAGAGCTGACCTTACCACATAGGAGGAGCTCTAAAGAAGAGAACATAAAAACTCATGAACTAGTGGAAAACATGAGATTAAATTTCTTCTGAACAAATAAGCTGAATGAAACACCTAATGCCCTGTATCCAATTCATATGTTTAATCCTATAAACCACTAGTTCAGAGAAACACATCTTCCTCAAGCAAGTGATGTCTATGAGATACAAAGTGCAACAAACTCCTACTTCAATCAACCAGTGCATTGTACACTAAACTGTGCAAAATAGTCAGTACCTTACCAGTTGTAGAAGATAAGTTACAAATCAAGAGGATTCATTATTTTGTTGACAAAATAAATCATTAATAGAAAATGATTCTATAAAAGCACTGCTGTCCAGGATAATCTTACAGTTTTCTTTGAGTAATCTCATCACTTGATAAATCATCTTTTATATTTGCTTCCCAATATACTGAGAGAATATGTGTATTAAAAACATGTGTTTCTTTCAATCTTGCAAGCCTTTTGCCACTTGGCTGACAAGTATTATAGCGATAAATAAGTCACATGAGTACTAATAACTACTGTATTTGCTAAACAATTAAATTCCTCTTAAATGCCATTACAGTTCCAATTTTATGCACATTACAGTACAGTATCTAAATATTTAATATTTAAAAAATTTTGCATGGTAAACATCTTTAACATCTTCAAGATCATTATCTACGCAGGGTAAGTAATGTACACGCCAGCAGTAACAATACATGATCAAATGAAAATTTTTAAACAGTTTTATCCTCATGTTCTTCAATTGGTTAGGTACAATCAGTAAGTGCAATGTGTTTACGACAAGACCAACTGCAACATACAAGTCGAGTTAGTGACACCACAGCTAAGTTGTGGCTCTATCAGACAACTTTGATACCTTGCAAAGCTCCTCATTTGTGGATCTTTTTTCCTTCAACAGAACAAGAAGTCAAATAAATAAGCCAAGATTATATCAAAGTCAACTGTTCGGGTCACAATGCCATCTAGTCTACATGTGGTGCAGGATCAACAGATACAAGACTAATTCACCCAGGGAAGAAATTAGAAAAAGATTTTACTTTCAAAATATTGACATTGAACAACTTACAATATATTTTATTAGTTATTTAATGCTTAACCACAGTACAATATGGTGTAATCTAAATATCATCAGAGTAAAGAATCTTATTTTGTCAATCTTTGTACCCTTAAATCATGGCAGACAGCTAAGAAAAAAGTGGATCTTCAGGTATACATGACGCTAATAAATCAAGACACCCCAAGTATTTTCGATTAAATCAGTTTACCACTAAAAAGCCGATAACCAAAAAATTACACTTATTTAGCAACAAATCTTCCCTGGGTACTGCTAATTCAGGATTCTAGTGCCTACAAATATTTGTCTATTTTAGATTTTTCTGCTAAAAAGTGCGGTGACAGAACCATCAGATGGGGAATCACCGCGGACAGGTCATGTTTTGCTTTGTCAGAGAGCCAGGTCAGTGACAACAAAACATATAAGAGAACAAGAGAACCCTTATTTAATGAATTACTGAAGAAAATCAATTAACCTGTATGGTTATAGAAAACTTCAGCAAAGTTTTTCTCACAGCAAAAGGACATGGGGGTATGCTTATGATTAAGAATAAACTTTGTGATGATGTTTATGCCTGTATATATCATTATATTAATGTTTTTCAAAACTGTACTTCTCGTGTTATACAGGTATAAGAAGGGAAAAATGCAATAAAAATTTGTAGAGTTTAAATTGCAAAACCAGCAGAAATAAATAAATTAAATATATATATATATATATATATATATATATATATATATATATATATATATATATATATATATATATATATATATATATATATATATATATATATATATATATATATATATATATATATAACTCAAAATCTGCACATGAAAAATTAAGAGGCCAACATTCACAAGTGAATGTACTGCAATGTGTTTCCCACTATCAGTCCCACTAGTGTGACGTCAGATCCATAAAATGGCTACAAAGGGAAATATGGAGAATGGATGTGGGCACATTGAACCAAGGTACAACTCTGCCATGTTTCAGATTATTTCGTATAGATCTGAAGGAGTGACAATCAATTGTGATTTATTTTCAAAAGGAGAGGAGAAGGAAAAGGAAAAGCAATATGTTTTCTCACTTCCGAGGGAGCCATAATAAAGCATATATCAAATCTGGAAAGTATACTGTATGGATTATTTTCTCATGTCATATAAAGAAATATGACAACATACAAAGTTACTGATTGTGATTTATTTTCTATTTTAGTTGTTTATTTAAGCTTCCAATACTGAACATAATGAAAGTTAAATGGCAGGCAAAAATATGTTTTAACTGTTTAATGCTATTCTTTGGCCAGCTCAAACTATGGTCTAAGCAAGAAAATTTAATTTATGGTTTTCACTACCAGTGAATGATATGTTATATAAAACATACAGTACAGCTTAATGAAAGCTTTTCTTATATGAACAGTAATATACCATCAATGTGAAAGGAAAATAAATGGAAGGGACAAAATAAGAAACATTTACTACCTGGTAGCAAAATAAACATGAAAAAATAAGTCTTGAACTGAAAAATGGTGTTTTCCCAATTCTGTGGTCCTGTATCTTAAAAGTTAGGGATTTTTCTTAAATTATTACAAACTGCTTCTAGGAATACTAATGGCTGAACAAAAGTTATCTTGAAAACAATTAACAATTTGTAAATGTATGGTCTTTATTAGCTCTAATGAAATAACTTGTCTATTAAATCAAAATTCCATATCTGACACTATCATTTTCTTGATAACTAAAGCTTTCAGCCAAAGCTAATCCTTGAATACAGTTACAGGTGGTTGGAAAAAATAACAGCTATTTTGGCATGGGAGGGGGAAGAGGAGGCAAATATTTCAAAATTAGAAAATATTTTCCGAGTGGGATTTCATGAACAGTCAGGGACACAAAACAAATCGCTATAAACATTTGCATTTCTATATGTACTGTTTGGTATCTGGACTACTCTGTAGCTGTTTGCAATGGAAACAATTCAGAAACATAACTACTTGATCCCCATAGGTTCTATCAAAGTATACTTAATACGAATTCACAAATAAAGCTTTAGCATTACTAAGATATACTGTACTGTATATACTTTTCAAATTTAACTACACTTGCACAACAGCAGCAAAATTTAAAGAAATAAATTATTGTACATTTACAGTATGTACTGCTGCATTATTACAACTCGGCTAAATCAGTACCATCAAAATAACTAATAGTGTCTCAAAAAGCTATCCCTTGACTGTGGTAAAGTTATTGTTCCTTATACGACAGGATAAAAAGTAAAAAGCTTATTTCAGCAATGAATCAAAAGTGCACTATTCTTTAAATGACAATAATTATACTGATCCTTCAAATAAAAGTAAATTAAATATACTTTAAAATTATTATGGAATTTATAATATTCTTTTGTGTTAAAACAATCTGATTCATAACAGCCACAGTCAATGACTTTTCTTAACAAACTAACATGAATACAATGAACGTAAAAACCTAAATGTATTTATCACGTAATCTGCAGTAAAGAGTCAAGGAGTTGTCCTTAAATTGGTTAGCTGCATTATTTCTTTACTTAATAAATGATAGAAGAGATAGATTTATACAATACAGCAATAAATATCATAATATTTCTTCACAATTAATTCTACACAAGAAAATATTGTTTCTTAACACAAGATGTTGATTCAATAAGTAATGATAATCAAATGATCACTGTTCAAAGAGGAGAAATAAATTATTTTACAATGTATTAATTAAGCACTACAGTATATATATTCATATATCATGAATATTTATAAAAGAATCAGTAAATTCTGATGATAACAGTAAGAGTATTTTCAAAATATAGAGCACTTTTGATACCCCATTAGCTTCTCCCTAGATAACAGGAACAGACGGAGTGATGATTCGAGCAACTATCCATCTCTCTACCTCTCAAGCCCAAGCCAAAACTTCTCATACTTTTTCCACATATTTGTTTGCGCAAAATATTCAATTCATGGTCATTCATATTACTTACAGTTTCTGAGGGAAAAGATAGGAAATCAGGAAGAGGGTACTCCACTAGTCATATGGAGAGATCAAATTAACAGCTATGAGATTATATCACAGCAACTTTCTGCTGCCAACTGGGTAACTATATGAGAATAAATTTATAAAACTGACGTTAATCACAGCAACAGGTAGTTTTACTGTAATTCTTTTGTATCAGAAAGTATGAATCATTAATGCCTCTATTTAGAAGGCACATTAACCATGAAGCTTCAGTCAAATACACTGCATACTACATAATGCTTTCTCAGGGCAGTAAAATATCTTAGTGTGACCTTACACATGCTTATTGTTTGATGTCAGGCACCTTAATACACTTGGTATAAATACAGAAATATAATGCTTATTGTCATCAGTATAAAAATAAAGAAGCATATTGTCATTGACATTAAATATCAATACTGCATATTATCCCATATGCATTTAATGACAAAATAGTGATATAAAATTCAATTATTTAGGAAAGATGGACATAAGTTCATGAGATGGTAAGGTAACAATAAGACAACCAATTATTACCCAGAGAAAGAATCAAGTAGTACGAATATTTAAAGACTGTCAGAAAGGATGATGGTGGGTGTGTGTTGGGGGGTATACCTGGGTGTGTGGTGGAAGTGGTAGATGGGGTGGTGGTGGTAGTGGTGGAGAACATCCCCCAAGGGGCTATGGTGGTGGTGGAGGAAGAGGGGGGTGTGGTATTGTGGACCCCCCAGCCCACAGCACTGGTACTGTTGGTGATGGTAGTGGAGTTGGTGGTGTTGAAGCCCTCAACTTCCCGGGGGGCTGGGGGTACTGCCGGCTTCTCATTTACAGTGCCAGTGGCGGCCACAGAGGGCATGATGGCAGTGGTGGTGGTGGTTGTGGAAGGGGGCGGGGGGCGTACTGGAGGTTGATGTTGTTCTGCCGAGTGTTCCTGCTGTTCCTGTAGAGGCTGTAGACTACTGGTGGGGGCGCCACTACCATCAGCTCCGCTACTGGGCCATGCATCTTTGGGCTGACTTGGGGGCCATGCACTATTCCAGGCACTAGCCCCACCACCACCAATCCCTTTACCTGCCCAAGTTGAGCTGGCAGCATCACCCCACGCAGCATCCGGATTAACCAGCTTCTCTCGCAGACTCAGCACCTGTCAATATAATTTGAATAAGCATATATGCTTGACAAATCAATTAACTATCAAAACACAAGAAACTATATATAACTCGAAATCACAAACTGTTTTTTGGAGAAGAGACCAAAGTACTTAAGACTACTGTACTCATCTTTTTATTTCATTTATCAAAATCACATAATCACATTAATAAAACATTAAGTTAACACATAATCTATTTTACAAGAGACATAACAATCATATCATAAATTACCATTCACAGTCTCTCCGTAGAAAGTAATCAGTGAATTAAAACCTTGCTCAATTTGTGGATTAATGAAATACTTGCAGAACCTATATTAGGATAACTGCTTAATAACAAAGATTCCTGTATACTGTATCTATATATCAATGACTTTTGTTGAAATGCATTGGTTCATTTGTTTCGACACACCTGAGGGTTTATAAAAGATCCACTTTCAACTACAGTATATAACAACTTGGCATAATAGCCTTTAATTTCTATAGATTAACACAGCTTTTCATATATTAAAGAGAGTGTTGTATGATGTTAATTAACCAAGACTTGTAATATCTTATGTCTCCAGCTATGGGTATCATTGTACGGTTATTCTCTAAAATTAGTGCACATGTGTAGCTCACTGTTCAGATTGTATTTTTATTTCCTTGGGAGTAACTTCCTTGATTATGACTCTGAAGACTGATGTAAAGGCATGGTTGTGATGCAGATGTCACATGAAGGACCCAAAGAATTATAAAGAATTGCCATAGGAAAATTAGAAAATGTTTGTAAATCAATGCTCCACCTCTATGGAAATCGAACTGGATGGAAAGAGATGGTCAGATGCAAACTGATGAAAAGGGAAACATTTAAATGCCCCTGCCAATGGCAGCTTGAGCACAGTGAGGGAACATCACAAATGGCCCCTGCTATGAAAAAATCAACAAGGCAGAATTTTTTTTGTAAAATTTTATGTAAATATGAAGAAAAAATCACATGCACAATAATCTTCATTTAAAAGTATAAATTCTACTATGCTTCAGGAATATTCACATAAAAACAAAGGATAAGCATATTACATAAAGTGTAGACCCAGTTGCATAATAGCACCTAAAAAATTATAAAGCCCAAGATTTAAAATCTGTACAAGAAATCAATCATGCCTGAAATTTAAGCCTGTCTCTAGAATATATATAACATTTCAGTCAAGTTTCAGGAAAATTCTTTAAAAATTATAATACATAGTTGATTGCACTAACTATTGAGCATAGAATGAGATGGAAGAATAGACAGAATAGTGCAATCCTGTATAGCCTCCCCCGTCATCATTCATTGGTGGAGACATAGATATGCACTAGAAGTATATGAAGGAAAAAGTAACACAGAAAGGTGTAACTGATGACAGATGAATGGTCCAGTACAACTAAGATTTATTGAGAAGAATTAAGAAAAGTTGCTTACCATATGAAAATGCAAAAGCAGGAGGTAAGATAAAGTGACAAGATGTACAAACAGTCTAGAGGGACCTATAAACACTGATATCAATTGACATGTTAAGAGAAAATCTGACTTCGTCTCTTAACAATGACGAGAAAGTGTGTAGAATTCTAAACACAGTATAGTCTGGTTTTACGCAATTAATTGAACCCATGGAGGTCCGCGTATAAAGCAAAACGCGTAAATAAAATAACAGAACCTATAGGGTTAATTGAAAGAGACTGGGCCGACCGTCAGACTCACCTTTTTTGGCTATCGCCGACACAATACTGTACATTGTAATAAAAATAACATCTTAATTTTATGATGGTATCCATATTGTCTGGCCAGATCCACCTGTCTCGTGCCTTTTTCTAACTCCTGGACGATCTCGTACTTCACCTTATCGCTTAAGGCACGTCGCTTGGGCCAAGTAGTTCAGGGCCTCTCAGGGTTGGTGGGGGTCCAGTGGAAGCCATTGTGTAGAAAGAAAAAAAAGCACTGGTTCCTGGGCACGAGTGAATATATGCGGAGACAGTGAAACTGACGCGGCGGCGGAGAGTGTAGGTGGCAGGGGTGGCAAGGATGCCTAGACCAATCACAGCACGAGGCGGAGGGGGTGCGTGGGTGGTAAGGAAACGTGGCCCAATCACAGTCTGCAACGTCACCAGAGCGAGTCTGACGTCAGCGCTGACATCAGCGCCCAGCACCTCGCCCTGCTGCTTGCCGCGTACGTGATGGAATTTACAGTGTAAATAATAATTATCTCTTCTGACAGATGCCGCGTAAATGGCCTTCAACGTAAAAAATATCTGCGTAAAACCAGACTATACTGTATGTGCAAGGGTTGAGGTATAAAGACAAATATTATTTTGAGAAAATTTATCCATATCATTTAGCATACATGTTTTAATGGATGTATATAAGGAGACTTAGTCATTATCTGATTTAAGCTGCAAGTTCTTTCTAATTCTAACATACAAAATTGGCCTTATTACTGTATATCTTCCAAATGCCAACTGTTTACTTTTTGCATATACTGTATTGTACAGCATGAGAAAAAACTGATAAAAACATCTTCATTACCTTAACTAATAGGCTGAAAATGTACAACTTACCTCTTTACGTTTAGCAGAATACTCAATGAAGATCTGTGCACACTTTTCTGCTGTTACATGCATGTCATCTTTCATTAAAGAAAGGTCAGTAACATTATTGTTCACATCTTCTTCTTTTGATGACAACTGAAATGTAAAGATTGGAATATAGGAAACTCAAACAAAAACGAAAACGAAATTAGTATACATTTACATATACCTGTAAGTAGAAATATATAATAGAAAAACAATAACATTTTGTAAAGAACAGAGTGTTAAGAGATGAAATTTTTCAGGATACAGTAAAAAAATGCAAGATTCCTCAGGCTATACTGTACAGTACTGTAAAATTCGGCTACAAAATTTACTCTTTCAATTACGAGTAGATTATCATATATAAAACACAAACTTTTGATGGTGCAAAGTTAGAGTATTATACCACGGGAACTAATGTAAAGTGTTACAAAAGGCAGGAATAGTTAATGATACATTCTAGAGAGAACTTGAAATGTAAGGTAATAAGTCAAATACATGGGACAACCTTACTGTACTGGACGGTCAATAAGTCTACAAGGTACAGTAGTGTAAAACAAAGTGACAATGCTGAAAGGTTATGATTGGCAGAAAAGTATACTAGTTTCATCCTGTTCCAAATATTCATACTGATATATCCAATAAGGTTTTCACCCACAAACAAATTACAGTAATATTATTTTGGAACGTTCTCTGTTATGTTCAATCCAAAGTGTATACTGACTGCTTAAACACTGAGATAATCAAAGGTGAAAAGGCGGTACAAGTAAATCTGTTACCTCTTTTTGAAGTTCTTCAACCTTTTCCTGCAGCTGCCTAATAACCATCTGCTTGCTAGTAAGTGAAGCATCAACTGCTGCCTGTTCAGCCCCACTAGCTCCAGCAGCTGCTGTGTTACGTGCCTTCAACCGAGCTTTTTCTTGATTAAGAGCTAATAGCCTAAATGTAGAAAAACAAAGAATCAAAGCAAGACATTTTTGTGCAAAAGGAAAGAGACATGTTACCTGTGTGATCATACAATAGAAAAACTGTTGGCAAAAACTGCCTTATTTAGAAGGCTATTCTTGAGGTAAGACCAGTACACTCTTTTGTTGGTTGATTGCAAATGCTGAATAAACAGCCAATTGCCAGGTCAAACCCAAGTTTATGAAGCAATCTTCAATCTTGGCTCAGTGTTGCTTCATAATGCAAACAAACTTTAAAAGAAAATAACCTTAGGATATGTGTTGGTAACACTCTCAACTGTACCAATTCCTACTAATCATCCCTGATGTGTCATACAGGTGATTGGACATTTAAGTTTTTGATGAAGCAGCCAAGGGAGGTGTCTTAAGCTCTGCTCTTAATGGCAATCAGAGAAGAAGTACCTGTATTAATATACTGTACTGTGACTGAAGATATTGGATGTCAACTTACCATGTAACATTTTGACAGACCTAGCTAAGCTCACATTAAAAGTTCCCCCTCATTTGAGGCAGGTCATGTGAAAGGGTGACAGGAGTGATTGATATACTTAAATGAGTTAATAATTCAACTCTGACTCGCATTATGGGGAACAATTGGTAAATCACAGTCCCCAGTCAGCACCCTGTATCACACAAGCCAACTGGTTTTAGATTGTATGCTAGAAAAATACAGTATACTGTATGCTAATAAAGTAAATGTCAATAAGTAACAAGAAACTGAGGTGATTATTCTTCATATTTATTATTCTACTGTTTCTATCCATCTCATATATTTTTGTAGGTTGAAGAAAAGTGTACAGAAAACCTAAATAAAGAGGTAATAACTTGGAAGCTTGATGCAAAAGAAATGTATAAAACAGGAAATTACCATGGCAACAAAATCAATTGTCCTTAACTTGCATAAAAAAGTACTGGGTATATACAGAACAGTATTTAAAGAGTGATAACTAGGCTTACATAAGGACTCACTGCATTTCACACCAATTTACTGTGCATCCCAAGCTGAGTCACCAGGTTAACATTTGTATCAATATTCTTATGTAGAAAACAAATCCAGTGAACATAATCCATAATTATTCCTTAAGCATTATCTAACATGTTATCTCTTGACCTTGTTAATTCATTTACAAAGTCAGGCCAGGCCATCTCTTTCTCTTGTTATCGTGTATTCAGGTGATATCTTTTATTTTTTGTATAACCTTTCCTGTACCAGGTCTATACGTCCATATCATCAACATACTCGTATGCTCTCCTCTATCTCATTAACCCTTCATAAATTTTTATTTTTACTTATACTACAAACAAGATCTGCTTACCTTTGATTCTGGTCTCGTGCTGCTGCCTTAAGTTGATTCATATCCGACATGTATGTATCTCGAGTAGATCGCATTGTATCAATTGTTGCTTTTACTTCAGTCACTCCCTGACGGGTCTCACTGATTTTTTGAGTTAGTTCTTTTACTCGGTCCTCCTGTTAATTAAAAGGAGTTTAGTAGTTCTGACAACCAGCATCAGAATGAATGATGGCAAATAAAGGAGGAATTTATACTTGCTCTTGATTCTGTTCACCCAGCATAAAAAAAAGTGAGAAAAATAGTCCAGGAGACCAGTGAGATTCAATCAACATGTAGAGTACAAAATGTCTGGAATGATAGGTATACAGAAATACCCTTCCAGTGTTCCAATCTTAAGTTCCACCAATGGTATATGATGGGGGTGCCCCACCATTCAGATACCCTCAAAATGGTTTTAATCAACATATTGAGTACAAAAAACATTTAATCATCAACCAACAGAGGAATGTATACTGTAAACATATTCACAAAATTAAGAATGGAATTTACGTACAGTGCAAAATCCACTAAAGAATGATTCTTGGTCCCAAAATTTTCAGCTGACAAATAGTACTCTGCTATAATAAATAAGATACATAACAGCTTGTTGTACCCAGAATTTCTAGGAGAAATTTACCTATACAATTTTAATTAAACAACGTAAATAAAATATCCAGTCACTCAAAACTAACCTTAGTTGTAAGTTCTATGGACAAACTCTGATTTTTAGCTTTAAGAGACAGGAGGTTTTCTTGTTGCCTCTGTCTTACATTCATCAATTCCTGCAATCTCTGTTTCTCCCATTCCTGTTGTCTCTGGAGCTCAGCATCTCTGATAAAAAGAAAAATGCATCATTTTTAACCTGATGCAAAGTTTGTTTCTTCGTCAAGTACAAAAATAAAGCTGTAACGAGTCCTGCAGGCTTGAGGGACCACACAAGTGCAAGGAATATATTCACTCACATTTATTGAAGAACATCAATGTGAACAACAAATTAACCTGTTTGGGTATTTACCTTTTTTTGGACATAAAGTCCCCCCGGTACTTAAGATTGGCCATACTTAGCAATGAATAAATCACAATATCGAGGGTCTCCTAAGTTACCCTCAACTCCTTTGCCAGTCATACGGAGAACAGTTCTTCCATTTTTACTACCTAACTTCATTACCTAGTGTATCCTAGGGAGGAGTGACCCTGCCTTGACATATACTAGGGTAGTTTTAAGACCTATATATAATGCCCAGTTCCCACCCCATAAAATTGAGTTGGCAACAGGAAGGGCATCCAACCATAAAACTTTATTTAAATTTGCCTGACGGTCACTAGGACATAATGCCATCGGGTAAAGCATAGAAAATAGCAACAGAGTGATGATGATAAATGACAGACTACTATGAAAACATTACCCCAAATTGTTGAGTAATTATAAGTGTACAGGGCTATTACCTCTTTTATCTAGTTCACAGTTCTTATTATGCAAACTGATCACAGAAATTTACTAATTATCAAAGATATACAGTCAACCCTCGCTTTACGCGGTCCCACTTTACGCGGTACCCTGCCGAAACTGGAATGCTCACTTTCCGCGGTGTGTGTACCCTTTTACGCGGAGAGCGGCGCGAGCAGGGTGCGCACAAGGTCGCCCAGTCCTCAAAACATTACCGAGTTCTTCACCCGCCACCCACCACAGCCGGCCCAAGTCAGTGATAGTGATAGTGAGGATATGGACTTATATAGACTTTGAGGGGTTTGACAAAGAGGCCCTGCAAGCCTCTGTGGTCGATAGTGATACAATTGATACAAGTGATACAGGTGAGGGCCAATAATCTGCCCTCTGCCTCGGAACCAACCCCCCCATCCCCGTGTGCCCAGCCATCTTTTCTACTAATGTAAGTGTTAAAAAACCTAATATTATTGATATTTCTCTTAATTATTAATTGTGTGTGCATACCATCATAAAATTAAGAAGTTATTTTTACTACAACGTAGGTATTGTGTCTGAAAAAGTGGAGTTTGGGGGTCAGCCCGGTCTCTATTTCAATTAATCCCATATGTTATGTTGTTCACTTTACGCGTTTCTCACTTTACGCAGGCCGCCGTGGGTTGAAATAACCGGGTAAAGTGAGGGTTCACTGTCTTGTACTTCAAAATTTATAATGCCAACCCAGAAATCAGTTGAGGTCATAACATCTAGCAATGACAGAAACTAACTTGCGGGCTTGTTCCCTCAACTCTTCTTGTCGTTTTCTCTCCTGTTCTCTTTGTGCCTCCATTTCACGTTGCCGGTGCATCTCTCGTTCTAATTCTTCCTGCCGTCGTCTCTCTGCTTCTTGTCGGGCCTTTTCTCTTTTTGCTTCCTCCTCACGTTCTCTGGCAATTGATACATGACAATTAAAAGAGAAAGACTACTTAATAGACCCAGGAAATTAAAAACATCAACAAAGTAAAGTTCTATGGACTCTCATTACAGTACTAAAGAAAAGAAACACTAGAGCATGTTCCAAGTTGTGAAAAAAAAAGAGAAACCTGCATATAAATTTAATACTTAACTACAGAATGATTTGAATTTAGCTGTTTTTCCAAAGTCAAAGGAAAATATACAGTATAAAATAATTTATGTATTTTTTCTTCAAAGATAATCAATTAACTTTGGATAGACATGTAATCCACAGAAAAAATAAAATATGACAAGAACTTTTGAAATCCACTTTTATGGTTATAGAGTAATGCGAATGAATTCCCTATGATTTTGTTGTTAGTAAATTGCTAACTGCCAGTTAAAAAAAAAAAGTTAATACAAAAATAGGCAGTACTTCACCTTATTTTCTCTATCAGACACAATTTCTTGAGTTATTGCCAAACTTAAGGCCTGTAAGAACATCTATAAGGTCTTTCTGTACAAAACAAAACAAGTCTATAAACTTAATCTTACTTCACTTAATAACATACCTGCGAAGCCTTTCCTCAGTTTCCCGTCTTTGGGCATCAAGAAGGGCTTTACGTCTTCTTTCTAATTCAGCTTGTCCTTTCTCAAAGTTCTCTCGTCTTTTGTCCTCAAATGTGTCTGAAAACAGATTTCATGTATACATACAGTATGTGTATACAAGTATTATATCAATTATCTGCATCTCCCAATTTCAGAAATCTCAATAACCCCAACTATTTGAACTGGACAAAAAATATTATAATTTGGTGCTAAGTGTCTGTTGTGTTGGACCAGTTAGATATTAGTGCTTGGTTACATTACTCCACTTTTACTGAATGAAACTGCACTCCTGTGTTGCTGTGGCACCCAAAAAATTATCAAGGGATGCCTTATCATCTTCAGCATTATCTACTCAAAAGAAGAAGAGAGTTACATCAACAAGAAACATGAGAGAAGAAATATACAGTGTATGGATGAAGGAAAGAATACAAATAAACTTTTCTGTGTGAATATGGAATTAGAATACTTAAATTTTACTGTGTAACTGATTCAAACAAAGGAAATAAAAAGCAGAAAAAAGATAGAAAATCTAAATTTCTAGATTTACTTATTATTTCACTCAAGTGTCAAATTCTCATTTTCGTGGCAGCCACCACTACCCTGCACCTCTCGTACATGCACACACAATTACCACTGTAATTATTGGTTCACCTTGTACATACTGCATTAAAACTTACTCTTTTATACATGTACTGTACTTTATGAGATATGTTAATTAATACTCTTGGAGACCACCACTTAGCACCAACCTGAAACACACAAACACATACAATACTTTATCACCACCTCACACACATACACACACACACACACCACACACACATGCATGCATGCATGCACATACACCTACCAATAGATTAGATACAAACAGAATAAGAAAAAGAAACTGACACTTACTATCATTGATACCTAAGACATCAGTAACTGGAGTGCCGGCTGAGCTGGTGGAATGAACACTTGAAGTTCGTTGGCGGCGATTGGTAGGGGGTATCAACTCTGCTGGCAGTATGGCAGGTAGCTTGTTTCCTGCTTTAGCTGTCTCACACAGGTACATAGCTAACACAAATTCTTCACTTGACAAACGACCATCATTATCCACATCAGCCAGTGCCCTGAATACCCAGAGAAATTAATAAGGAAAATGAAAGAATTTACCTACAGATACAATAATAAACAAAAACATGTTTGCTTTTTCCTACACTTAAAACAAGGTGTTATTCAAATGTAATTATGTTATGAGAATTGTTAAAATGAATGTTATATATCCTTCATTACCTGTCTCCTTTCTAAATCCTACAACACCATTGCCAGATCACTTACTTTACATCTACACAAATTTGTTGGAAAAAAGCCCCTGTAGGTACTGTCTCTCCAGACACTCGCAACAATGTTAAAGCCATTTTCACAGGTAATTATAAGAGATTTCAGATTAATAAATAATGTAGTCAAGGAGAAATTGTATACAAGACACGAATTCCCCGGTGCCCAAACAGATTTCCCAAAAGGAGCTAACACATGACCAAAAAGAATACCTCCATAAAATGCTCCAAACATAAAGGTTAACCAAACAATTCAATAGGGTCTAAGTTGCCAATCTAGCATGACCATAACACTGACTTACTGTACTTTAGGAGTGACATTCTCAAAAAAAAAAAAAAAAAAATGACAATATTTAATACATGTTTCAACTCACCATATTTGTGCTAGTATCTGCTGAGGCAGATGAGACTGAATAAGAATATTTCTTGCCTGTACTCCAGACAAGTATCCAGTCTTGGCTCTGTCTGACATATTAAACACCTGCGTAAACCTGAGTTTGCTTGCCTGAGGTACAGCCCACTCAACAGGTGTTTGGGAACCACTGTGGGAGGAAACACTATCAAATACTGTATATAAGACCACCAATGTATTTTAATATTCTTGCAAACTTTCTCCTGCAAAGATGCAGTGTGGCCACAGGAAAATAAGACTGCCTCTCTCTTGCCTTCACCCATTCACTCCAACTGGTGTGACATAAACCACTCAACACCATGTTATCTTATTGTTCACATGCTCTGCTGCTTTTTTAATGTCCTTATCCTTCGCTTACAACACTTCCTTTATGTCATCTTCCCACTTCTTTCTTAGTCTTCCCCTCTCCCTTCTACTATTTATCTATGAACTTTTACAGTAGAAAGTTGATATAGCACTAAATCGAAGTGTTGTTTCAATGGAATAATTTAGTTTGGTACTTGAGAGAAACACAAAATACTAAAGAGACTAAGAGTCTACCCAGATGCACCTCTGCCCATCTCCTAGAATAAACAAAACATTGTTTTTTGTGGTATTATGTTAAAACAAACACTCATTAATCAAAACAACTAAAATTAAGGTTAGCAAAATGGTCTGTTTACTGGCTGGGAAGATGGGGGAGGGGGGTGAGGTGATTTGTTTGACAGTTGATGCCAAGGTCTAGTGCTTATTTATTTATCTATCCTTAAGAGTGACTAAGTTTTCTCTAATAAAATGTCACTGAACTGACATGGTAGAATATAATCAACATTGCTGGTATTCTTATAAGATAGTGATTAATTTGAATATACACATGCTATAGCTCACATTAGACATACAAATTTTAGTTCTAATTTGAGAATTTTATTAGAGAGCAAAATTTTTTATCTCTTGTGCAAAATATATGACGTTTATATTCTAATTATTAGCTGTCTTGCAAGGATTCCAGCAATATAAATTATATTCTCCTAACTTTAGTCTGTGACGTTATAAGATAAAAACTTCAAGCCTAAAAAACACCAAACCCTGGCTGGGAAGATGGGGGGGGGGGTGGAAGTGATAGTGATATGTTTGACAGTTGGCACCGAAGGTGTAGTGAAGTATTTATTTGTTTATTTATGTCCTTTAGCTTGAGTTTATGTTTTTTGCTTATAAAATGTCACAGAAATGACCGTGGAGAATATAATTTACATTGCTGGAATTCTTATAAGATGGTGATTTATTTGAATATAATCATCCTATAGTTTGCACTAGACAAAAATTTTAGTAATCATTTAGTACATTATTTTGAGCACATGTACAGTACAGCTTTGCCCTTAGGACAGTGTAGGTTGCCCAGAGAAACATTAGGCGCAAAATTTTAAATATGATGCGCCAGATTGACTCGCGCAAAATAGGAAAGATTCGCTTTAAATTAAAACATTGTCCTTAATTATGGGTGTCTCTTTAAATCAATAATCTTAAATTGAATCGCTTTAAATCGACGTGCTACTGTATTCACATTATTTGCCTCTAATTCTCTAAATACTGTACGTTCATACCATCTGAAGAAACCCCGACCCACCATGCCACACACTTCATCCATATCTTGTTGTTTCAGTGTTTCATATTCTTTGCATCCTCTTCATTTCAACATTGTTTTTAACCTCTGAATGGTAGCCAGCATAAGTGGATGCTTCATGTTCTTGCTTTCCATTTTTGAGCATATGGGGGCAGAGTAAGGAATCCTTAGCTGCCAGTTAAGGATTAAGAATGTCATTTCTATTGCTTCCAGTTGACAGTGCATGTTAATGTTAAGGAAAGGGCCATAAAATGAAGATGACAATAATTACAATTCTTTCATTACCTATTCTCAGTGTCTTCATGATGTGTAAGTACAGTACACGCTGGTCAGCCCCTTGTTTGACACTCTTTCCACTTCCAAATCTCCTGTATATACCTGTACCTATGTTCTTATTCTTTGATACCTTTTGTTAATAGAGCATCTCACCTTGGGAACCTTCCCTTAATTATGCATCAATCCAAAATTTTCAAGTTACTGGATGACATGAGAACAAACATTCCATGCAATTCCTAACATTTCTCGTAAAATCACAAGTACTGTATAATCATAACATTTACCATACAAATACAAAACATACCCTGAATCTTGGCTGCCTGTTCGTTGCACTGCAGCCCCAGTAGGAGCTGCCGAAGTTCCTGGTGCTACTGATGCTGCAAGTGGAACATTTCCTGCTGGTACTGGAGCTACTTCATTGCTCATAGGAGGAATCATGCCCCCCAGCTATATAAGAAGAAGCCAAAAAAGAATAATACATTACTTCTTAAATATATCTACTGTGTCAGTTTTTTTTGTTTTGTTTTTAGGAACTATATACTTGGGGGATGATCATGACATAACACCTTAGTCACCTTACTGTAGTTATCCATGCCTTACTAACATGTTCTATTTCCTTAATCCCTATCGAGTACTTCTGACAATGTTTGTCACTACTTGCCCCTTTAAGATGTTGACTGCTTTACTTAGGCAACATTTACTTCCTTCTCACACATTCTCTTTGTTATCCTTCACCCACTCTACAACACCAAACCAGTTCCAGATAGTTTTCATAAGTCACTCCATGGTCCCACACTCCACTCTTAAGTTCTTTAACCCTCCTTCATTTTATGCAGTTCTCTACTATTTATTTTTCTTATATGCAGCTTTCAAATTCTTTATTCAAGCAATCTTTATTCTTAGTCAGTCAACTCATTGGCATATTAGATATTAAGAGGGAATAAGCTGTCTCATGAGTCCTATCTTTCCATTTATATTTATATGAACTCCTTTCAAGATCCTCTTCAAGGATCTAATCACTTTTCTCCCTTGCACTGCTGTCTCTTACTTCTCCCTCCACTGTGCCAATTTTTCGTACTGTTGTAATGATCTCAAGTATTGAAATTACCTAACCTCCTCCAAACACTGTATATTTACTGTATATGGTACAGCAAAGCCTAAACATGTACATTCTTCTTTCAATAAATGATGGATTGATATTGTAATTCCTTTTGATGACCAGACTTGGGAACCTGTGCTACATGGCAAGCCAGACTAAGCCAACCAAATTTTTGCAGCCAAATATTTCACAAAAGATTATCTTTACTCTCCCCCTTATACCCAATCGTAAATAGGTGTCTTAAATGATAGTTGTTGTTGTTTACATTGTCATGTGAGCAATGCACATCGTCCAGTCATTTGTCTGGTCACACCACTGACACAATAACAATACGTCAACAGTACCAGCCTTGGGAGGATGGAGTGTGTCTGGGTCCCCCAGTTCAATCTGAATCATTAAATGTCATTCCTTGATCAATCAATCATTAATGGCCTGATGATGACCATTCTGTGGTATCCACCCATGTTATATGAAGCCAATTGGACACCTCTGACTAGGTTACATTTACCCCATTTGGGGTAACTTAAAGTCCCATACTGTTCAGCTTCTAAATGCTACATACCATAGTCATGACCTGTATCTTATGCAACAAGACAGCAACTGGCGAGATACCAGAATACTTTATGGAAACAGTTCTGTACTGTGCAATGCCTTTGAATACCAGTCTAGTTTAAAGAATTTTTCATAAAAACAATGTACAGTATCCAGAAATAAATGATAAGTACTTAAATAAGAAAGTAATCTACCCCCAGGAAACCTGTGACTGACCTGCACTGGCTGTGCTGGGTGCACTGGCTGTACTGGGTGCACTGGCTGTACTGGGTGCACTGTCTGTATTGGCAGTACAGGATGTACTGGTTGTGATACTGAGGAAATGGTTTGCACCATGGGTGCTGAAACTAAAGGTGCTGCTGCCACTGGTGTTGGAGCCATAGATATTGGAGGGACATATGTTGCAGGCACAGATGTTGGAGCCATAGGTACTAAGGGCTGTGCCGGGACCATCTGAGGGGCCATTCCTGCCAATGGCACACCACCTAGGTAAAAAAGGTAAATCATATCATCTTACACATTATACAACCTCTACATCCTATGCACTTCTCCCACAAAAAAAAGTTTTGTTTTTACTGTACTGTATACTTTATTTTCAATCATATGAAATCACTTGAAAATGTGGTAAAATAGGCATAGTCCCTGCATTAGCTGAACTTTCATGCAATAAAAACGCTATGGACATGTACGTAATATAAAAGACAATTTAATTAACAAAATAGGTGGATGTAGACTGCAGTCTACATCCACCTAAACAAAACTTGACAATGGAACATAACACATCATGCCCATACAAAAGCTTTTCAAGTTTAGGGCAAATCTGTTGACATTTTCTGAAAACAAACAGTAGGTTTCCTCCTGCTAGAGATAGTTATGTGCAAGTAATGAATCAAAAATTTTTTTTTTTCAAACTTCAAGCAACATACCTGTCACCATTGACTGCACAGGTCTCATTGGGGCACCTCCAGCCATCATACTTCCTGAAATACATTTCAAGATGCAAATAAAAACTCACAAAGACTATCACTAAAATAAGCTTTCAATTACTATATATAATCCTTTCAGCAGTGAATCCAAAATTTCTTCTGTACCAAAATAAGTATTTTTAGGAATATTTGAAAAAGTTCAGCTTTATAGAGCAATAAAGCACCACTCATAATACTATGTACCGGAGACATAAAAACAATATTACAAACATATAAAACCCATAATAAGAGTCAAGTTTCCCACCACTCCACAGATGGCAAGCTTTAGAAATACTAAAACCAAAATATGCTTTCCCTTAAAAATAAAAGTTTGTTCTTATGAGCCTTTTCCTGGTAAAGACCCATGGTCAGGTGGCTCTCATAATATGGGGCTGCTTACTATGCGGCTCTATGTCCTCAGACTATCCCCCATAATATTATCACAGTTATTGCTTTCATTTAATCTGTATACTGTAAACTAATCACCATTCCTCATCAGATTATCAACCTCTCATGAGAAAATTGTGCTATGGTTGTCCCAAGAGGTTATTGGTCTTATTAAAGTCATGTTTGCCCAATCAGCATGCAATATGCAAAGGCTACTGACTGTCAGCTTTGATTTGAGCCAATTTACAATTTTCCTACCACTGAAATTGTGCAGGCTTATATGAAAGTCATACTGTGTTTCTCACTTGGGCACTATACAGTACTGTCCACTGGAATGATGTCCTTCACCATCAAAAGTTGCATATACAGTATCATGTGGGCAATTACAAGCCCTGTCTGTGAGGTACTTGGCAGAGGAATGTCTCTTAGGTCTCTTGCAAGGCTCTCGGAAGCCATGAAATACAGTAATACAAAAAAATATATACTACATAAATCACTTATATTTGCAAATAATCTCTCAGCAAGTTTTTTATTTTAGCAACACAAACCCTGAACATAGCTCCTATGACCCCCAAGAAGCACATGCACATCTCCAAGTGGTAACAACAATGTTTACCAAGTTCCAAATTAATAATACCCAAATTATGAGACCATCTGCCTGGACAAGTAGTGGGTTAATACACAGAAAGCCCCACACATAGCACAGATAATGACATAAATCTTTTCCAAAACTGGTCAAAGGATAAAAAGATAAAAAACAACAATTGCAAGATGTGCTCAAAGACTTACCCACAAGTGGTGCAGTGGGTACAGCACCCACAGGGCTAACATAAGCATCTACAGCAACAGTCGCAGGATCATGAGCTGGAGCTGAAGCAACATAAGCTATTATCAAGACTGCAGAGGCATATCCCAAGCTTAATATCAACGCCACCACTTAATAAGAAATTTAATGAAAAGCATTGCCCCCAAGCACCTGAATTACAAATATAGAAGTGTAAATAGAGAAAGTGACAAGAACCAGAATAAAATATATCATTAAACAATTAACTAGCGGACAATAAAAACACTGGAAATAACTCATCAAAGAACACATGTAGGAGAAGAGTTCCAGACTACAATATAAATATGTACTGTATATGACTTATTATAACAACTAACTGTACAGTACAGTATTTCCAGATTTTTGTCACATTACTGTATAATAAAAAGAAAAAACAGTACGTGGACTTCTTCAATAGTGAGAGGCAGCCATCTTGTGAAAGTTAAAGGCATCTCTCACCAGTTACATGTTAATTTTTGTTTTCTATAAGTCTCTTAACAATATGTACATGTAAGCTAATATTTCCTTTTTCCTATACAATATTGTACAGGTATACCTTAATTAACAATTAATCTACAGTACAATATTTAAGTTTTTTATTTTCCAATAGTCAATACAGTAATTTACACCTTTATTTCTATTTCCAATAATTTTTTTATGATATTTCTTATGATAAACATGCAGCCTACCCAGTAATTGCCTATAATAGGTACAGTTTACTGTACATGTATAAACCAACTGCATCTTTCAAATTCTGCTCCTTGTTTTGACAGAACTCTCGAACAATTTTTTGAATTTTCCAAAATATTTACCCGATTTAGAGATGTAAGGAAAACAAACAGCAAGAGAAATGAGCAGCAGCAATACCCCTCATAGTAAAGCCATCACTTTAGATGTTAAGTTGGATATTATAAGACACATTTTGGCTGCCACAAGGACAATGGCCCTCTTAGGAATATACTGAAGTATTGTATCTCACTCAACTGTGGCAATTAAATAAATTTTAGTTTGTTTTTAATAAAATATTTGCCTATGTTAACTACACTTTAAATTTTTATGGCAACAAATGTTTAAGTTGCGGTGCAAAGTGTAATTTTATTTTATGTTAGAAAGGTTTTTTCTTAAAGAAAGTATTTCCAAATTTATTAAGGTAATCAATGGATCAAGAGTTTACAATAGGGTTTTCTGGAGAGTAACCCTAGTGTTAATCAAGGTATACCTGTAGTCTATCTTAAATAATGCCAAGACACATTCATTCAAAATTTAAAGTGTCTTACACATGAAGCGGTAAAGCCCTGTCATAATTAAAAATAATTATACTCTTAAGCTTCCAGCAAAGGGAAACACCATCTCAAAATAACATAGAACACTGATTGAAACTAAGGTGAGCACATCAAATTTGTAGAGAATCAATCCTGGCATTGTCAGTGCAGTATCTCAGTTGGGATAACAGTTGATCATCTCCCAATGCTGCCATCACAATAGCATCATCTTAACACAATTCAAGCACAATGTGACCCTAATACACTTGAGTACTGTACATTTAAAGCAAATCAGTCTAAGTGTAATCAGGGGTAGCCTGGAAATAAAACCAGATAAAGCAGAAACGAAAAATATATAGACATGTTTTAAGGCCTGCAATTCCACAAATACACACTACAGAATCATACTGTACATCACTCAGTACAGTACCCAGGAAAGTATTTTGTTAAACTTGAAGTGAGTTGATCAAAATCTTGAACAATTATTCAAAGACCTAAATAAATTTCACTCCATAAGTCTGGTCACTACAGGGTTACATTTACCCAAATCAATAATGTCCACAGAATAATACCATTACATACAGTAGTGTTTTGTTTTTATAGCTTGAAGAAAATTCACTTAATCATTGTTAAGACATACAGTATCCTTAAAATGAGTACAAATATGCCCAAACTGATGCCCCATCCATGTAAAAGTACTGTATTGCAGTAATGTTATGTACCCTCTGTAAAGAAAAAGAAAAATACAAAATGTGGGAGATCAGAAGAAAATGTAAAAGTTAACAAGGAGCAGAATGGTGAAAAAGAAAATATTGTTTGACCAGCTTGAAAATCTTATCAGCTAACCAATAGATCAAAAATAAAACCCTAGAAAATTCAATCCCTGAACTCATTACAGTACGTGATATCTCCGTTAGCCAGAACAATTGGTGCACAGCACTTCCAGGAATGAGAAATTTCCAGGTAACGAGAAGACTCTCTCAAAGCCGGAAAAAAATATCTCATCCCGGAATTTTCAGGGTAATGGAAAAAGATTATCGGAAGTTCCAGAAATTGCGCATTGCATCATCTCTCGAACTCGGAAGAAATCCCCCCTCCCCATAGTTTTTTGGGTACTGGGAAAATTTTATCAGAATTTTCCAGAAAATGTGACTTTCGGAAAATCGCCCCCAAAGCCAGAACTTCCCAGAAATTCCGGCTTTGGGAATGATTTTCCAAGAAAATTTCAATTCTGGTTAATGGAGAGTTCGGGTTTGAGGGATTCTGGCTAATGGAGATATTACTGTAGGTTCGGGAATTATTTATGGTTCTTGAATAAAAAAATAATTATGTATAAGGAAAACAAAACTGCAAAAGAGCAACTTTAAACCATACGATTATTCTTACATTTACTCTGAAAGTCTCACTAGTTCAAATATTTTTCATGGCTCAGAGTTAGTTGAAGTTCCCAGTCAGCTATTATATTGAGTACACAAAAACTAGAAGATACATACAATACCAATACAGTTACTGCATATACTACAGCACTGTACTGTATACTGTACTATAAAGGTACAGGGAAGTGTGTAGTTGATAAAAACAGAACTGCACTGTACTGTATAGTAATATAAGTACAATACAATGTAAATTCATGAAATACAGTAATGACCCATGCCTGATATAGTACTGAAATTCTTAGCGATCATTAAGTGAAGGCTGCGAAATATCCTGGAGACCAAACAGTATATGAATGTTTAACTTTGATTCGCATATCTTATATTTTCTTTTTGTTTTTTAATTCAGGAGTAGATTAAAGTATACTACACTGTGAGTGTGAAGCCCCAATACGACATTGTGTCTAACCCAACAGCAGCCAATATAACAAAGAACATAAAATTATAGCCGAGCTTATTTAACACTAACATTTACACTAGCTATCTAACTAAGGAATTCATGCAATTATAAATGAAAATCAGAAATATGGCAGAAGTAGATGAAATTAAAGAAGCCTATCCTCATAGATGTGATAAATATTATATTGTGTAACAAACTGCCAGGTTAGAAGTTGTCTTGTAAAAGAAAGTAACAAGCAGAGTCAGGAAATCTGGCAGTTGCAGTATTATTTTCAACCTACTGTATATATTTTATGTACAGTACTGGTAGTTATTACAGTATATTCAATACCTCATTTCGTATAATACAGTAATGCACATTGTTACATAGACTTTAAAATGGGCATAAAATGTGTTGTCTTTGTTACAATGAATAAGCATTCAGAAGTACTGTATATAGACAAAACAGTTTAGAAACTTAATCTTGTAAAGATACACATGTAAAAAAACCAAAGCCCCCACACCAAAAATGATCATGTAAATAAGGGAGGAGTATAAAGCCACCTACAATAAAGGAGGAGTATAAAGCCACCAACAATAAGGGAGGAGTATAAAGCCACCAACAATAAAGGAGGAGTATAAAGCCACCAACAATAAGGGAGGAGTATAAAGCCACCAACAATAAGGGAGGAGTATAAAGCCACCAACAATAAAGGAGGAGTATAAAGCCACCAACAATAAAGGAGGAGTAAAAAGCCACCAACAATAAAGGAGGAGTATGTTGCCACCAACTATGAGGGAGGAGCATAAAGCCACCTAAAATAAGGGAGGAGTTTAAAGCCACCCACAAATTTTCATTTCTGCACAATGAAAACTTCTGCCCAATGCTACAAATATATCTTTAATGGAATATACTGTACAGATGGACAGGTACAAAATTAAATTCTCCAAGCCCTGCACATGCAGTGGTCAAAAAAAAAGTTATAGGACAATGCTTTTTGGCATCCCGAAAAAAAAAGTACCAAAATACTGTATGACGATTCTAACACATTGTTAAGAGACCACTTCACCCATTTATAACACCTTGCCTAACTGCACCAGAAATGCAAATGCCTGTCACATTGGGGATGTGTTTTCCATCACAAATGCTCCAACTACTGTAAAGTATTACCAAAATTTATATTTAAAATAAATCATACAGCTTGGAAACAATATTAATTGATCTGAGGATGCATACAAAGAAGCCAACAAGATTGCTGTGTGCTACACACTACTCGTATTTGTGTACGGTATTCCTGCTAACAACTTGGGTTGATCAAAGAACACACTGATGGACAGCCAAATTCATACTGGTAAAAATGAATATGTCCCCTGTAGTTACAATAATTTCTGCATCCAAATATTTCATAATTACATATGTATACAGTATTTAATGTAAACTATCTATACATGTATTACCTAAATGTTATTAATTAATATTTTACAAATATGCACTAAGGTACTGATCTACATGACACTACTGGATGGCTTTCTTCCTTTCATCATAAGCATTTTACATTTTTCATGCTTGTGGATTAGCAGTGATTATCTGGTGACAATTATCCATGCTGTACAGTCTCTTGCAGCCTCTCTCGTCAGGTTTTAAACTCTGAGGTTGGGTCTTATATCTTCTCCCCATGTCATTCTTGGCCTGCCTCCAGCTCTCCTCACCTCCACATTCCAAACTCATGCATATCTTAGCGCATCTGGTTTCATCCACTCTCTCCACATGTCCAAACCATCTCACCCTACCTCTACACAAACTTTGATTGTCAATAATGTACTGTACTCTCAAGGTTTAAAGGTAGTAGGCAGCTATCAAACAGGGAGGTACTACCGCCTGGGAAGATATTGGAAGCATAATGTGTTGTCTAATGGTAGACCCTACTGCCATATGGCATAACAAAAATTGTGACCAAGTCCCAGGTTGCTGATCTGACTTTCTGCCACATTTACACACAATTGCAGGGTCTCAATTGTTTCTCTTACTTTGACAACACAGCATACAGTACATACTGTATATCGTTTCTCACTATATCTTTTTTTTCATTTTTGTATTTCTTTATGGTTCTTTATTATTATTATTATTATCAGCATTGTGGTTATTATTGTTATTATTATTATTATTACTATTATTATTGTTATTTTACTTTTAATTTTTTATTTTTTATTATAAATTTTATTTACTATGAACTAATTATTATTATTGTTATTATTATTATTACTGCATTACATTTTGCCTCCCAGGCCCCGATGTGGGTCAGTGACCTGTGCCGGGGTAGGCTAATCCTCTGTGTGTGTGTGTGTGTGTGTAAACCTTCCTGAAAGAGAAATGAGGGTTTGAACCTTTATTTTTTGTACATGGTCTAGATTCAATTCTACACAGTTTTGTTAAAGAAAGGTTTGTCAAAAGACTGCATATCAAAAGTTTTCATTTTACAGCTGTAAATGATTTATCCTCATGACCTTTCACAGGACATTCACATACATTCAACATACCTCAATGTAACAACATTCTGATGTAGAGGTACTGTATATCTAAGGCAAAATACAATGTATTCTTAAAGCTTGAATACTCTATTTTCGATCAACATTTAACTTTTCCTGGAAAAATTCTTAGAATGTATTTTCCAATGTATGTGCAATACTGTATTTCATTGCTTGGTCCCACAGTCTTACAAGTATTTTGCACATTTTGTACTAGAAGTCAATGAGCCACAGTGTAGTGAATCTTGGTTTGAAGACCTACAAGTACTGTACTGTAAATGACAAATTAATTAAAAGTACTGTACTTTTACAAGCTAACTCCATTCTTTATGAAATTCAACTACTGTAGTTCATGTATTGCACCTCTGGCTAAAACAGTTGTCTTCACAAAGTTTACATGCACAAAATTTCTTGCCTTTGTGATCTTTTTCTATTAGGTAAAAAAAGAAATATGTGGTAAAAAATAACACATCATGCACACCATCATGCTGAATAATAAAATAGGTTGACAGCTTGGACACTTACGGACAGTTGAAGGCATAGTTGCCACCACTGAGCCTTGCCCAGCCCCTGCTGCTGTTCCAGAGAATGCACAAGACATACTTCCTACCACATGCCCAGGCATGGCTCCAGGTACTACACCAGGTATATTGCCTAGTGAAGTAACTGCAGTATACCTTATAGTTGTACCAGGAATGATCCCAGGTGCTGTTCCTGACATAGAATTAGATATGCTACTTGAAGCTGCAGCCATAGGTGGTATTGCAGCCACAGGTGGTGTTGCAGCCATTGATAGAGGTGCCAAAACAGCTGGGGCTGAGACTGCAGCAACAGGAAAAGAGGCTGAAACAGGGGCAGCAGCAGGAGGTACAGAGGCCGAAATAACCACAGGTGACATAACTGGACCAGGAGCCCTGGCAGGGGTGACTGAAAGGCCATTATCAAGACCCACAAGACCTGCTATTCCCACCCCAACAGTGCCAGGCGTCCCATATCCCGTAGAAGTGCCTAGAGGGACCAACAACAGATGTCAACTTAGGAACACATGATGGTTACACTGCATGTCTTGATCTGTTGTTATTGTGAAGAATATTTTGTTAACTGCTCTGAGTCAGCTCTAGACAAAATATTTCTTCTTAAAAAATGTCAGGCAAACCACATCAAAACACAAACTCATTCAACAGGTGAGTAAATACCAAGCTCAACAACAAAGCACAAGTTACAATTATTTACTGTTTTAGTACAATATTTTCACTTCACCAGCATGACACATGCAACATCATCTCTACTTTAAAGCAAATCTCAAAACTTTACAGTATTTTTTTTACAATTACAATTTTAGAAATATATTTTTCACATCCATCACCTAATTAGTTTTTGTCTGCTATGTCACAAATGGCCTTTGAAATTTTTTTTATGATTTTTACACAGTTTTTGCATATCAAATGTTGGTTAATGTGTGACGAACAGTTAAAATCATGGCGTCAGAAATTTGCATATGCCATTCTGTACAGAAATGGTACTGTAGATAGCAAAAATAATTGTTCAATTTTGGTTTCCTCTCCCATCTTTCCGAAGAAGTTATTACGGGAGCAGCTGCTCCAGACAGGCTCACAAAGGCAGAGAGCAGAAGTATTGTATCAGTATAGCACCTGTTTGGTATCAAGATCACCACCTTACTACTGAAGTTAAAACTGTCTATGCTGAGGGAAATTAAGTGAACTTTATTATTTACCTAAAACACGATGAAGGCATATTCAGTAAATACCTGTAGTGGGGTTAAAGCGATGAGCTTAAAGAATGAGTAAATGTTATTTTGAAGAAGACAGTGTCACTAAGGAAATTTTCTGACAAAATATTAGCACAATCTTTAATTCATACTCCAATGGCAAGAAGTTTCTTTGATGTAAGTACCAATAATATTTACTATTTTATCAGGTAACAGAATAGAGGATTTTCCTTCTTTATGGATGACAAAACTCACATTCCATACATCAATATATGAACAAACATAACAGAATAGGTTCTCCAAAAATGAAGAAAAAATACAAGCCTTACAATAAAGTAATTATAAAATTTATACATGTTTGTTACTGTACATACTCAATATTGATCATTACAGTTAGCAGTACTGTACAGTACACGACATACTATCAGCATACCGCTATTATTAAAAATATAAAAACACATGACGCTGTCTTCCTCTTCCTTTTGCTACCTCTGGCAACATGTTCCCAATAAGTTACAAGAATAATTCAAAAGCTAAACTACAACCATGAGTGAAATAGCTATTCTGTTCCCAATAAGTTACAAGAATAATTCAAAAGCTAAACTACAACCATGAGTGAAATAGCTATTCTCCACCTTCTGTGACCTGGCACTAGAGAAGTACTGTACTGTACTTATTAACTACCTGGGGTTACCTGGATGCCACTATGAGCACCTATGATTCACATGTGGTCATTATGAGCCCTCAGTTACTAGGTACAGTATCAATAAAAGCACATGCGAGTCACTTGTCATATCATGTGCACATTTGAGTCACAATATAGCACCAGTGAGTTACTTGGTATCAATAAAAGAACCTGTATCACTTGGCATATTATGAGCACCTGAGAGACATTTTGGATCATTAAGAGCAGTTTTGAGTCACGTGGCATTATTATAAGCACCTGTCATCAATATGAGAGCCCATGAGGCACCTGGCATCATTATGAGCACCTATGACTCACTTGATGTCATTAAGAGCTCCTTTGATTTGGCTTGGAAACATAATGACCTTATAAAGGAGTGTCTGAGAAACCAAGAGAGGTCCCACTGTGTTTTAATGCCCATGATGTCAAATGTAGACACATGTCACCCCTTATGAATACCAGTGACAGACTTGCCATTGCCAAGAGCAATAATGATACAATTTATGTGGATATTATGATAATTTGTGGGAAGTGAGAGGTCAAGGGAGGTCCTGACACCTTGAGCAGTAGGAAGGCTCATTCATAAAGACAGCTCAAAATGTTAAATAAGAGCCACCTGTAGAATGGTTTATCCCATAACCTGTAGGCTTGATCAATCTGTGTGACCTTGTCCATTGACCTGATGAATAGCAAAGTTTATAAAGTTCTCCCTCTACTTATCAAGGTTCTGTGTATGAAGTCTTAGTGAAATTCCCATTACAGAGATTGCAGTTAGTCTTTGGATAGGGTTAGGTCGAGGAATGAATAGACAGATAAACTGACAGCATGACTACTACATCCGCCCAATATACCTATTCAGTCATGGGAATAGAGAGAAATAAAGAAATACATTTCCTGGCAACACTTACCCACTACTGGGGCAGGAGCTGCTGCCATTACATTGGCTCCACAGGCAGATTGCTTCAGAGTTGCAGGTAGTGATTGTGGGAGACTAAACCCACGTAGTTTTAAGTTGATAAGTTTACAGGCAATGCTGAACTCATGGAGATTCATCTTCCCATCACCATCAACATCAGACAAGGCCCTGAAGCATTTATTGATAATTACAGCAAAGAAAAACTAATTTAGAAACAGTATATAAATCTATTGTCTTTATACATTAAGTGTGCTTATTTTTTAAGCACGAACTAATGTTTTAAAATGCAAGTACTGTACTGTATAGAACATAAGATCAACTACACATAACCATCAAACAAGACATGCTCTTAAGTGGGGATAGGATTATTATTACAAAAATATTTTGATGGCTGAATAAGCAAACTGTAGAGAAAAAAATGAAGGAATGATTCTGAAATAATTGGGCAGCTCTTGTCATAAAGGTACAATTCTGTCCTTTGTATTCATGCTACAATCTTAGAGTAAATAAATGGCTATAATGATATGTAGTACAATACAATATACAGAGTACTGTAATACTTTCAAACTATTTTTTTCCTGCTTTTCCTTGTGTGCCAGATGTTTTATAAATATCTATAGTAAATTTTAATAAAAGCATTCTAATCACAATATGAAACCAACATCTAATTATAAAATTAGAAATACAGTATACCCTGTACAGTACAGTGTACTGTATTTATGCTGAAGTGACTGACCACTGTGGTGCCATAATCAGCCAGGCACAGTGAAGAAGCACTGTCCAGACACCTTCATTATCTGATTATTTGGCAATTCTATAATTTCTTGTGTTGTAGTCCATGAATTAACATTCAGTAGTTTGATAACAGTATCTATAGCACATCCTGTATATACAGTACAAGTTTATATATATAAGAGTGAAAGTGGGTCCCATAGGCATCACTGCCTGTTAGGGACAGTGTGGATACACAAGAAGGCAGCATGGCCGGTACTGTACTGTACTCAACCCCACTCACTTCCCCAAGTTGAAACTTAGGTACCCATTGACAGATGGGTGAAATGAGTGCCTGAGTATGAAACCACAGATCCCTGGAACAGGAGGCAAGTGCTGTAGCCATTTGACTGCTGCATATACACATGCATATGAAAACCTTGTAGAGCATAAAAATTCATACTCAAAATTATATTACTAAGGGGAACAGTGTTGTTATGAAGAACTTTGAAGCAACTGTTTTGTTAAATTTCTCATTATAAATTTTTATACCTGCAGAGTGTACAGTATAGTATTTTTATACAATATAACATAAAAAAAAAGTATATACAGTATGGCATACACCCTATAATGTAATTATATTTCACACCTTAAACTGTACATTGTAGGTGTTTAGGTCTCTCTCTCGGGGGCAGAGGTGGATGGTAACAAGGTAATGTTACTTCATTACTGTACTAGGCTTATATGACTTTTAATAGGTACAAGAACTTTAAGTTACTTGAAAATATATTTTCTTCTTGGTACTTTTATTTGAGTAACATTTCAGACAACTATCAGAAGGGGATTCCCGGGTTACAAACGGGTTCCTTCCTAAGGATGTTAAGTCAGATTTGTACGTAAGTCAGAACACATGCTATGTGCATACAGTACTTACATAATTTTTTTTAAATCCTAATACATCATAGCCTAAGTCCTTATATACATCTAAAATCACTTAATTTAAGACAAAAGAAGAAATAGAATAACAAAATATAGTACAAACGAAAGTATAAATTAAGTCATAAGGTAAATAAAATACAGTACTGTACTGTAAATTTCAAGTTTAACCCCGTTCGTATCAGTGGGTGCTCATAAGTCAGGGACCCCCCTCATACAGCATACTGTTATACAGTACATTTCTTCGGGCCTCTCATTACCTCGTTACTTTATTCTGGGTGTCTCAGCACTGAGTGTGTAATATTTGTTTAGGCAAAGCACAGTATAATACTATGTCAACCAAAAAGTCTGAGACCAAGAATAGCAAGAAAAAAATTTGTTCAGTGTAAGTAGCTGGTTGGAGAAAGATAATTGTAGACATACCTGTACATACTATGATAATTTAAAGGGTTAAAGACAGAGATGTACAATAATAATATACAGTAGCTATAGCTACTGCAAAAAGCACAATACAGTGATATCTCCGTTAGCCGGAACAATTGGTGCAGAGCACTTACGGAATGAGAGATTTCCGGGTAACGAAAGGACTCTCAAAGCCGGGAAAAAATCCCTCATCCCCGGAATTTTCCGAGTTACAGAAAAATGTTCTCGGAAGTTCCAGAAATTGCCCATTGCATCATCTCTCAAACCCGGAAAAACATCCTCTATCCCCGGAATTTTCCGGGTACCAGAATTTTTTTCTTCGAATTTCAAGAAAATGCACCTGATTTTCATCTCTCAAACCCGGAAAAAACCACCCCATCTCGGGAATGTTCTGGGTATGGGGAAATTTTCTCAGAATTTTCCAGAAAATGTGCCTCTTGGAAAATTTCAATTCCGGCTATCGGAGAGTTCCGGGTTTGAGGAATTCCGGCTAAAGGAAATATTACTGTACTGTACTGCGTAATATAAAAACTTACCAGATGATGCCCAATACTGGCGGAGGCAAACGAGATTGGAGGAAAAATCCCTTTGCCTGGTCACCAGTGATGAACCCACCTGTGGGCCGTATAGTATTAAACTGTTCCTCATGTTTTGTTCGTTCACCAGGTGTTACCACCCATGGATCAGCCATCTGTTGAGGACAACAAAATGCAAAAATCATTAGTTGCCAGGGAAAATTAACTTTTCCGAATGTAGAATAATCAGTGGTGGGCACGGTTCCGCTAATCCGCTAAATAGCGAAGTTAACTTTCTCGTTAGCGGATTAGCGTTTTCGCTAACTTTTTAAACCATTAGAGGACCAATTAGCTTCCGCTAATTTTAAGTCCGCTAACAAAATTTATACAAGTTTGTTCCTGTCTGTTGTAAGCGTGTGACACCGCGACGCGTGTCTCCAACAGCCAGTCAGGCACGCTTGGCTGACTGCACATTAGTACGTGTAAACGTGACAAGACTGTCAATGTATGTTGAAAGAATCATAGAATGTAATTGTAAACTAATATATAATTTAATTTCTCATTTATTTGTTAATTTAATTAGGATTTTTTTGTGTCAATATATCTGGTTATGCTAAGTACTGCATAAGTTCATAACCAGGATGTCATCCAAGGTGTGCGCCAAACAAAATTTTCTAAAAACTTACTTGTCATTAAAGTTTAGAGTTTTCTGTTTATTTACATGACTAAGACCAACAATAAGTTGTATAAAAATGCACTGGTATAATGTGTATGTGGTTGGTATTGCATATTTACATGAATAATGAATAAGGCCGATAGGTTGTATGAGAATGCAAATTAATTATTTGTGAAATTGTGTACAATGTACACCTTGATAAGTTGATCATCATCTGATTTTGGCATGATGCTATTTGCTACCTATGCTATACAGTACTATAGTTTTTGGATTCGTTTAATACTTTCTGTCTTTTCGTACAGTAAATAAAGATTATAAAGTGTATGTTGAAACTTGAATGTAAACTAATGTTTAATTTCATTTGTTCATTTAAATATTTGTGTACACCTTGATCATCATCTGATCTTGGCATGCTATACCGTTTTGGAAAGTTCTATGTCTAAGCTACAAGACAACATATGAAAATTTCAGCTCTCTAGGTCTGTTTTTAGGGGTTTTAGAGCAAAAAAAAAAAAAAAGAAGCTAAATTTATATAATAAAAGTTAGCAGTTAGCGTTAGCTTCCGCTAATTTTTTTAGCTGTTTAGCGTTAGCGAAGTTAACTTTTTAGTTAGCAAATTAGCGGTTAGCGAAGCTAACTTTTTGTTTAGCTGTGCCCACCACTGAAAATAATGAACAGTAGTGTTTCGATACACTGTACTGTATAAGAATTAATAAGTTGCCTAAATGATATGATGAATTCATTTATAAATGTAAGTTCTTCCACCTTCTGCTGTACAATATTTATAGCAAAAAAAAAATTCAATAAAGAGATCCCTACAGTACTGTATTTCAACAATTAATTTGACAATTTTAAAAAAAGACATTACATCTAATATACAGTATATCATGTTCTTCTGATGTTGGAACAAAACATGGGCAATGTTCATTGAGTTCCTCGAAGATTTGAAAATTTACTTACTGTAATTTACTCTTTTATTCAGTTTATTGGCAATACTATAAAAAAATCTCTGGAGAAATCTAATTTCTCAACTCCCTTAAGAGTAACCCCAAATTGAGTGGAGGAATTCCTTAGCTATTTCATAATCTGTTTTTTCTCAAAATTCTTATACTCATCCACTCAACAATGTGCCATGCTTGACATTCACTTTCAGTGCCCAACTGAATACTGCACAGGGGGGTACATTACCTGTAAGTGATGGAACGCTTCCCTGTGATTATTCATACCAAGTGTCAGCTGCATATTATCACTACACCTAACTTAACCAAACCAACCTATAATAATGTACATGTACTTCCATCCCATGGAAAGGAATACACATGGATGAATTTGCATGTATCGCAAAACTTATAATGCATTACAAAAATTACTAATTATGTATTGTCCTTTACTCAGGATATTTTTAATGTAAAAAGAATCTATCATTCTCTATACAGTAATATTAAAAAATATCTAAAGTTGCTTTTCAGTAATAATCTAAGACACTTTATGAAAACATTCTATTGAAGAAAATTTTTCTTATCTCTTGAATACCAAAACAAACCCTTTTCAGTGATCCTTCTTACAAAAAGTATTTTTCAGAGGTTATTGGTTTAATACAATCAGTAGTCTTGCTCTCTTCTTTTTGCCACAAAATTAGTATCATGTACCTTACCCTAAAGTAACCTAACCTAAACTAAATTTACCTTACCTAACCTAACCTTTCCTTTTTTATAATCCATTTGCAGAGATAATCAAAGGTTAAAATGCATAATAGTGGCATCTTAAGTTATGTTTATATATCATCAACAGATTTATAGATATGTTGGAAAAATGATAATAAAAAGTTTGTTATCTTTGCAAATGTTTTTTTTAAAAAAGAAATTGAAATTTTTCGAGAGAACTTGATTGTTTGTCATGTGCATTCCGGTTTTCATAGGTTAGGTTAGGTTAGGTTAGATAAGGTAAGGTAAGATTAGGTTTTGTTAGGGTAAGATTCATTTCACTTATTTTGCAGCGAAAAAATCACAACTGAATGTATCATAAAAATCTATGAACATAATTATTTTTTATAAAAAAAAAAATGCAATACCACTGTTAATTTTTACCCATTTTTTTATTAGGTTTGATGAGCTTAGATTGGGTAAGGTATTATTTAACTATGAGTCATGGGTACTTCTTGGATAATTGGCAGAATAGCTTGTTATAACGAGGTCCTAGCCATACCAAGACGTAGGCAATTGGTTGAATATGCAAAAAAGGCGGAGTCTAGGAAAAAATGTTCACTAGTGATTTCCAGCGGAAATGAAGGTCAATTTGTATAAGTGCACCCAACTCTGTTAGAAAGCCAAAAATATATTTTTTCTAGTGTATTTATGTGTGTTTAAATCAGTTATGACCTTCATTTCCGTCGGAAATTGGCCGGTTTTTTTTATCAATTTATTTTTTGGGTGGGGCCCTATCCAAAAAAAATAATGGCTAAGCGAATACAAAATACACAAGAAAACACTAGAAAAACATAAACCGGAACTGACCTGACCTAACCTAACTGACTCTCACCATATGATGAAATCACCTATTTCTCACCTTATTGGCCTGGTTCTTGTCCGTCGTTGGCGTTACCACAATGACACATATGCTGGTCTTGACGATATTTGCATTCGTTCTTGCACTTAGGACACTTTACTGAGGTCGAGAGAACACCATGAGATCGAAAAATGCTATAGTTTCTTTGTTTTTTCCCCAAAAAACTCACAATCAGCTCCACATAATTGAAGTGACACCCATCGCAGACTTCCATGGTCAGAAATGAATTTGAATTTCGAAATGAGACCCAAAATAAAAATCGAATTTGAATGGGCCAAGATTAATGGAAGAAAATAGAGAAAATTTTTGATACGCTTTCTCCATTACAGTATTATACATTTGTGACTGTAATGTAATAGAAGAAAATTATCTTATAATTGGACGTCTTATTCGAATATGATTATAGATTAGGGGTAGGAATTCGTTCAAAACTAACCAAACACCATAGGAAAAACATATTTCTAATATCAAAGAAAGACCGGTGCCAGTTGTAAACAAATCATAGCGACACTTGCGACTGAGGAAATCTAATAATATAGAAAATTAATATCTCGGTTATCCTTAATTTCCGGCGGAAATATCATAGAAGAAAAATGTCTTGGAGTTGTATAAACATTACCAAATACATATTAAAAACGGCGAGAGAAAGACCGGTGTATTAATAGAAATTGGCCCTTTTTATATTCTAAAAGTAAAAATTTGTTTTCCTCTCCAGATAATTTGACTTAGGTGCGTGTTCTCAGGAGCCTTCTGTCTAGGGACTAAAATACGGGGAACAATCATGAACTTCCTGAACCTAATAATAAGTTGATGTTCCTTTTCTATAGCTTTATCCATAAATATAAATAAGACTTAAAGTTATGTAATACAATCATATATATATATAACAGTTTCGTTATAACTACAAATTACCACAGTAAACCTTTCTATCATAGCACATCCTGAACTGTACCTTCAATGGCAGAAATATTACTCTCTAGTTTTCCAATACCACCTTTAAACCCTGATACCATACAACAACCATTAAGAGAAGACATTGAGTCAATGATTAACACTGAACACGGGTTTCTTTACCGTGAAGAGCCTTGAGAGGTGTAGTGTAGTGTTAACTCACGTCATCCCGGACCGTCCCACACACCGTATTGACCACTACCTGGCGAGTGTCACCCATACCACTTTTGTTTACATCACTAACTATATCATTTTATCTGTTATAACTATTTTTTCTATATTAAATAACTACACTTGTAAATATAAATACATTTACAAACATTAGAGATATAAAACAGTTGGTATTGATATTTAATTATATAGACCTCTATATAATTTTATCACTTAGTCTTGCCTTGTAAGGGGAGCAGACGACCAGTGATACCAAGTACTATTCTTCAGAAAAAACTTATTAAACTTAAATAAACACTCGTGTATCAGTATTGTGTATACATATATAAATCATATTATTCTTATTGTACTGTATAACGAATTATTTCTGGACATGGGTGTGATAAAGTACATTTGGGAGATATCTGTCATATCTTGTTGGGAATACTGCACCGCCCACTTTTCATTAATCAAGATGAGACTAATAGTTATTGTTCTTTATAATATACATCGATAAATTTTGATAACTAAACTTGTACATTATCCAACTGTAATTTATGTCATCACCAGATATAAATTATGAAACGATATCTTAAACACATAAATGAAGATGAGAAGCGGAAAATACTATAGTATCTACATTCTGCTGTATTTTATTTATGTGATTTAAACATTTTTATATTTAATTGGTCAAACAAACTCATCCATGAACAGTGGTGAGAAATATACACCTTACCGCACTACCCATCTGTAGGGACTTAAAACTGCATCTACCTATACTAAATATATCTATTGGTCACCTCAAGTGTTTATATTGGTCACCTCAAGTGTTTATATTGGTCACCTCAAGTGTTTATATTGGTCACCTCAAGTGTTTATATTGGTCATCTTTACTGGCTATCATTTTCATTGGCGTTCATCTTTACCGACGATCATTTTTATTGGCGTTTATTATCACTGGCGTTCATATTTACTAGCGTTCATTTTCACTGGCGTTTATTTTCATTAGCATTCATTTTTACTGACGATCATTTTCATTGGCGTTTATTTTCACTGGCGTTCATCTTTACTAGCGTTCATATTCACTGGCGTTTATTTTCACAGGTGTTCATTTTTACTGCCGTTCATCTCCACTGACGTTCATTTTTACTGGCGTTCATCTCCACTGGCGTTCATCTCTATTGGCGTTCAACTTCACCGGTGTTCATCTCCACTGGCGTTCATCATCGCCCATTCAGTGCAGCAAGTCCGAAGAGCAATCCTCGAACATCAGGTTAGTTTAAAGTGACCCGAGAAATTGATTCATCAAAGCTCTTATTTGAGTTTGACAAATTCATTTGTCTTCGGACTTGCTGCACCGAATGTTTAAAAAAATAAAATTAAATCGTCTTTTGGCGATAATCTCAACTGGCGTTCACACGCTTCACCTTTACACCCGTTCACTGACTGTGGGATACCATCAGGAGTAGACATATGTTAATTAAACTGTGGTAAGGAATGCACTCTCTTCATATCTCTCAGATGTCCCATTGCAGTTGAAGGTGTGTGCTTAGCACTTCGTATGGCTATATTAGTTGGACCAGAATAGGTGACCCCTTGTTCTCCAATACAGTTTTCCTTTATTGAAATACCAGCTATTACTGATGGTATTAGTTTGTGTTTAGGGGCAACAACAAATCATGGTTGCTAAGAGTCACTTTATATTTCATATGCATTATTGGAGGAGCCTGTTTGTTTGCAGCAGTAATGCCTTTTGGAACTCTTGCCTTGTCATCTTGTGAATGAAATATGATGTGGTCCAAGTAGAGAAGCTATCTCTTCCAGGTAAGAGATAGATGTTCGAGCAAATAGTGTATCTGGATGTCTAGAATGTGCACCATTTTCATGCCTCAATAGTTTAACAGGAACTGTTTTCACATGTCGTTTTCCCTCTCGAGTTGAAGAATTTGTAGGCAGTAGTCGCAAATAAACTGAACTGCGTGATAATTCAAAACCCTTTGTATGTAAAACAGCTGTTAAGTCATCCAGAGTCTTGACAGTTCTGATTGGTGTGATCTGGAGCAGTGTTGAGGGGGGGGGGGGTGTTCAGGGTTGTGTTACGTAATATTTTAGGGGGATTTGGCTTGGTATTACAGAGTGTTACTGGGGATGGGGGTGGGGGAGGGGAGGGGATATAAATTTGGGTGGAAAAAAGCGTTACATAATTTTTGAATGGCCCCTAATATACCATGAACGAATGATGAAACACGGATGATAATCACAACAGCGTACTGTACATAAATTACAGGTGTACTGTTGAGCTACACGAGTATATAATCTACTGTATACTACCTCCATAAGCAACCATTGGCAACTTGATGTTCATAGACTACTTAAAATTGAAATTGAAATATTTCATTGACAATAAAAAATCATAGACTACTGATTATGACTGCCTGTTTGAAACTGTACCAACTTCAAATGAGATATTACGGTGCCATCTATGGGCAGACGGGGAAGTCTGAGACTCGTTCAGAGGTTCGGAATCTCGGGCAAGTCACTTGTTTGTGACTGCATACAGTATGTTTTTCCTAGATAGGTAGTAGGTACGACTCCACGAGTGCAAATGGTCCCTCGTGTCGTCCCCGACAACAGTACTGTCTCTCATACCTCCACGCCCATGTTGCCCGTAGCCAATCCCCTTACACTGATGGGCGGCGAAGAGAGCCTAGTGACGGGGGTGATCGCCGTGGTGTTAACGGGGATGTTGCTGGCGTACCTATCTCTCTGCTGCCACGTGTGGGGTCTCCATTTACGTCTACTGCAGTTGCTCAAATGTGTTGGCTCCCACACTAACACTGGCAGGTGAGGCCTTGGGTGTACATTTTACATTTGGGCGAGGTGCTCGCATTGTTTGAAGGATCATGATATGTACTCGTACACGATGAATACAAAGTGTAAATATACGGTACAGGAGCCAAAGGCTTGTAAACGAGGCCACATGCAAATTATATAATTTACATATCTAAACCATATTGCTCTTTTCCGGCTAAATATCGCGAAGTGTTTTGGACTCGCAAAATCCATATGCAGTTCTGTATAGCTTACGCAGTATACAGTTTTTAATACAAAGTTTGAGCAGATCTAAGTATATAAACTTTTGTAAATAGATATTTTATGTGAGAAGTGAAATATTATTTGCCGATGGCGCTTCAATATAGTGAAATATTTTTTTAAATTGCCCATTTATTAAAGGTCTTTGAGATATTATGAAGTGTCAAATGTTCATCGCTGGGCAAAAGGGGAACAAATATAAAGCTACTTATTATAGCAGACGCCCTGGAGAAATTTTATGCATCTTTTGTGAGGAACAATACTAATGTAAATACTGCCCACGTATATTTTTGCCTCTTAACATTTCGTAAATAAGTATCGTCATTATTTTGACTTATGTTATGAGGTGTTACAGACAAAAATATTATAATAGTTTCATATTAAGTCCCTTTTGACGTGTCTTTGAACAGCAGTAGTCAGAGCACGTCCACCTCCCTGCCTCTGAACGGGACACAGCTCACGGGCCCTGGAGGCACTGCTTATTCCTGCACACCACCACCACGCTACTCTGAGGCGATGGACTCCCTTCCCTCGTACAGCTCTGCTCTGAGGCGCTCGGTAATTGAACCCTCTGCAATGTTCAGTGGAGTTTATATTTCTTTCTCTTTATCATAGCTTTTTTCTCCAATTTTTATTTATTTTTATTAAAGTCGTCCTTGGTATTATTTTACTTTCGGACAACACAGGAATCTTAAGAATTTTATCTTTGTACTGTAATCAATAGTTTAGACTATTTAAGACACTTTTCTACTTATATCTGCCGGGTGGTCCGAAGGGGGGGGGGGGTGCTGAGACCGCCGGTTAGGATAGGTCATTTGCGAGGGAAACATCACAGAAGAAAAGTGTCTTAGAATATTCTAGACTATTGACTACATAGATAAAATTCTTAAGATTCCTGTGTTGTCCAAAAGTAAAAATTTACCCAGGCCTTTGTTTATCTTCATAATTTAGTGTTTTCACATTGATTCTATTGTTTCTACTACCCGTAGTTCATTTTATTTTGCCCAGGTCTGAGTATTGTCTGCACAAAGTTTCAGTGGAAAAAGTGCATTAGGTTTCGAGTTTAGTGACTTCTGAGGTCCCGATTCCTTCTTCTTTAATTTTCTGAAACTGTACTTCTGAAACCAATGTGATGAAATTCTAGACCTTTGTCTCCAAATAAAGCTGTTCTTTAGTTTTCAGTTGTTCTCTGGTTTCTTTCATTGGTTATAATGCAGTTTAATGAAAATTTTGCACAAACAATATTTTTTCATTTGAGACACATGGTTGTGCTGTTGTATTTACCTTCTTAAAGATGCTGTGTTCCTTTGAATACTTCCGGGAGTAGTGACCCTGCCTTGCCAGCTAAGAGAGAGGGTACAGTACTGTACCTGGATGTCATACATACAGTATAGTGCCTTCAAATTTGCCTGATGGCAACTGGGAGATAGTTCTGTCAGGTAATCATGGCTAATCCAATAAGCTTGGAAAATGGTCAGACAAGTGATGATAATACTTTGTCACCCTGTTGTCTTGTACCAGTAATAATTATACATGGTTTCACCTTTGCATCAATCAACCAGGAATGTCAATATTCTCTTATGCACTTATTTTTTTTCTTTAATATTCACCTTGCTTCTTTTTTCTGATTTCATACAGTATTTCGCAACTTTACCTTTTCTACCTGATTTTACTTTTGTCCGACATTTTTATCACCCACCAAATTCAGGGATTCTATAGCTAGTTTATCTTCCTAAAAGAACATTTGTCCTATTTTCTTTGATCTCTTGCCGTCATACTGCCTGTACTATATACAATATATTTCATGGTATACTCTGTATTCCTATAGTATTGGTCTTGTTGGTATTTTAATACATTTATTTGCAATTTATGCAGGTAACGATGGTGGGCGGGCCACTGCACTGTCGTATCACTGTGTGTAGTGTCAGTGATAATAACCTCAACAACTCTGTTTTTGTCACCAATACTCCAAACTCACCCCACTCAGACCATGACAGCAGCCCTAACTCCATCCCACCCTACACCCCACTCAGTCACATCCCCACTCAAACGACCACTAGCTATACCCTGCCTTCCAGTTCTGCCAACAATCAGTTTACCTGGAAAATATCCAAATCTACTTTTCCTTACCCAGCCAACAATCATGGTTCTTTCATTTTAACCAATAACAGTCCCAGTGAGGTCACGAATCTTACCCCTTCCAATATTATGACCCATGATGCGTCTCAACACACTGTGACCAGTCCAGCCTTTCCTAACACTCTCACACGTGAGGGTGCTGGCACTGAAAATCTTTGTGGAGCAAGAAACTTGATGCAGGAGGTGAGTGGTGAGAGGGTGCACCATTACCGCCTAGAGGACCAGCCCCACCACTCGGAGGACCAACCCCGCCACTCAGAGGACCAGCCCCACCACTCAGAGGACCAACCCTGCCACTCAGAGGACCAGCCCTGCCACTCAGAGGACCAGCCCCACCACTCAGAGGACCAGCCCCGACAACCCAATCACACTCAGCCTCTGAACCAGTAAGTTTCCTGTCTGTTTAAAATCCAGTAAACATACATAAAGGCCTAAAATCATGCATATAAGTAACAATTTGGTGTGCCTTGCTTTATATTACACGGGGTAGGAGACTGAAACATAGTGACACAATCTAAATGTTTGTAAGAGAACAGTAATGCTCCCAGACATGTTGAGGGTATTTTCTGGCGACTGTACATTAAATGGAAACAGATTGTGCATACTGTACAGGTATCCCTCACTATACGAATGTTCGAGATAAAAATTTCACTTATAAATATTTCCTAAATTACCACCTCTTTTTCATTTTACATAAGCTTCCCCTGCTCATACGAATTTGGGTCCCGGCAAAAATTCAAATCGTACACCCCCTGGGAGTCAGCTGGGGCGGCCACATCCCCCTAGTGCTCTCCTTACCAGGGTGAGGTAGGAGTTATTTTATGGTTATATTTCAACTCCTAATTTTCGGTATACAGTAGTACAGTATAGACATAACTTTCTTCATATATTTTTTTTCATTGTTACATGCACACAAAATCCTACATGCAGAATGTGAAAAAAAAGGCCCAAAACATTTTTTATTGTGCCAATGAGAATTAGCAGGAGGAGCCGGTGGGTGTTATGGTAAGGTTATTTTTCAACTCGTAATTTGGGGTAGGTAAACTTACTCGGTTACATGCACATTTAATCCTACACATATTGTGCAAAGAAGTAAAAGAAATACAGTGTAACCATAATAAGGTAAAAAACATTAAGGGAATAAACACTTCTTTGTGTGTGAGGTGAGAGGGGGTGTTGATAAGGGTCAGGAGGGGGAACGTCTCCAGCTGTGGCGAGGCTTGAGGGCAGCCATGCATGACGCAGCTAGCTTCTATGTAAATGGCGGCTTTATTATAAACTTTGATTAAGCTGCATATTTTCATCTCGATAGTATTTTATTAATGTTTTTAATGTGTTAGGTAGTAAATTACAGTAGTTGTGTACTATTTATCATTAGTTTGTTAGGTTTTTTGGTATTTGGGACTGATTTCATGTTTCTAGGGTATGATATTGAGGTTTTCTTGTCACTGGGGAACTGAACCCTCTATTTCTCATACATTATATTCTTTTATTCACCTAACAAATGGTTTTCAGGAACCTAACTCTATAGTAAAGGATACCTGTATATATACAGTATATAAATTTGTGACTAGGGTAAAAATAGTGTAAAGTATATTAGCTTGAAAATTGCAGGGAGGAGGAACGGTCCTTGAGGCTGTGGGTGAGAGATGGCGATCATGGTCAGCACCAGTTGATATATGCTCGTCGCACACCTGACGATCACTATGTGGCATACTGGACATTCCTATCCCATGACCCTGACCACACTCATCTCCAGGTCAGTACCCTCCACCCACTTCATGATTTCCCATGACCCCCACCATCAGGGCCGTCCCTAGGGACTGTCGCTATGGATGTTAAGGTCACGGTTGCGATGGTGGCGTAAGCCGTCAGGTCAGATTAACCAGTCAACAGGTAATGTGTCCGAGGTCACTGGATCTAGTGCTGCCCCCCACATGCACGGGCACTGGGAGGTCGCCCCTGTTCGCCCCCCCCAAAGGACGGGCCTGCCCACCATACCTTCATATTTACAGACCTCTACCCACCTGTTATTTCAATTCGTCACATTTTCAAGAAACACAATGCCAATGTTAAATGAAGAAAGAGACATACAACATACTGGCTGCATTTATGTCTCATCTTAATGTTTTGCAGGTGGTAGTGGAGGGTGGGTCAGTGAATGCAGCATTCCTGGAGCTGCTGGACAACCATGGTAATAAACTGGCTGTTATGCCACTCACTGTGCTTCCCTCAGGCCCTGACTCAACTACTACCTTGGTCACAGCATTATCTACCATGTCAATTACTGCATCATCCCTCCCTCCTTCTGTTCCAACTGTTACACTGACTACCTCACTTCCCACTCAATTAATGCTCCCCTCACCTCTTTCCCTGACTTCTATGTCCTCTGCATCCTCTTCCTTTCCCCCAACAACCGCATAAAATTATTTTTGTTATCTGCACCATTTCATGAAGATCATCCCTACTTTCTACCCTGTACAAATTTTTGATCGTATAATACTGTACTGCTTTCTCAAAATAGTTCCTCTTCTGGAAACTGTTTTGAATTGCTCTGTTGTTACTACAGTAATCCCCGCAATGTATTTATGATGGGACACTAAGTTGTGTAGATGGAGGGCAGAGGACTGAAGAAAATACAGGAAAATACCTTTGTGTGATCTCATTCCACTGGATGGGTTGAGAGTAGAACTGTCCTCCCTCAGCTTGATGAACTGTGTTTTGAATTGTTTTAGATATTTAATATACTGTACAGTATACATAGTGCAGCTATTTTTCTACAGTTTTATATAAGTATTTTTTTGTCAAGATGGATGTAAGCAGTACTTTTATCACAATTATTAATAAAAATAATAATCATGCTTCAGTAATATTTTTACTATAAATGGCGCCACTTACGAAGACACTAACTGAATGAATGTGCCATATTGGTTGTTTAATATTTGCTCTCAATAATACTCGGCTATGTTCTCTCCTTTTAAGCTGATTTATATGACAATTTCCCTCTGCTCGAGATGAAGAATTTGAGTAATTGTTAGGCTCTTGTAATGCATTTATATACCGGTAGGTACTTTATTCAATAATATAACTTTCTGTGCTTTAACTAAAGGTTATGTTGCTTATCTATTTTCTCTTTTTAGTACAAGATAAAGGATAAATCTGGTCCCCATTATTCGCTGGGGTTAAATTCTAAAAAATGACAGGTAAAAACTAAAATTCTGTAATTAACAGTTGGAAATTTTTCACCATAACAATTAATGGAATAAGGGAGGATTACATTCCTATTTGTCGCTAACATCATTGATGAGACGAAAGGGGGGAGATTTCTGCCTTAAGAACTACAGTAATGTTATAATGGCAGTATAGTACACCATGTGTCTAAAGTGAACCTAAAACTCCAGTTACCAATACATTGTGTATAAATTTATAAGTAAATAAATATTTTAACATACGATGTGTTTAATTGAAAAGAGTAATTTCTGATTTTATTTTTTATTTTTAATAAAATATGCTTGGAGGAAATACTACTGTGTACCTTATGTAAGCTTGGTGTGGCTATACATCAAGACAAGCAGAACAGTCCAAACGGTAAATATGTGGGAAGTAAATGCTGAATACTAATAAAGTATTCCCCTATTGATGAGTGATGAAAATGTGAAACAATGAATGAAATGGGACACAAGTAACTGAGACCATTTGAATATGATGTGAATAAGCTAACCTGTGAGAGCTCAGAACTGCCCTTAACCTTGGCCTTTGAGTGTTGATGGAGAATGTTACTCATTGTGGAATGTTCTTTGTGTTAGAGCTCTTTTTTACTGTCTTGTTCCATTAAGTTATTCCACAGTATTTCATTTGAAAGCAGCTGTACATTCAAGGGAGAAAAAAATGCATTTTCCCAAATTTAGGGCATATTTTATAAAAGTAAAAAGCATATAAACTAACATATGAAGAGATTGATGGAACAGGGGCATTGTATTATCCTATTATGAAGATACTTAGTAAATTATAACTTGAAGCAAATAATAAAATAAATTTACACAACACTTTTGACTGAAAACCAGATCTTGATGAAAATGTAACTAAATCCGATGCCAAATTATGTTACTTGGTCCTAACATGCATGACAAATAACCATTTCATTGTCTCCTGTATCATGTGGAATTGCATTTGCTGTACTTTGTCAAGTCTGGATTGGACAGAGTTCCTGTAGGTGCATAGCTGGATCACTTCATACTGCATAATATAAAACAAATGACTGTACAGTTGTGGAAATGTGTTCTTACGCCCCCTTTGGTAACCTGTGTCTCCAAACGGTACTGTCGCAATGGTAGTACAGTATCAGTATTTATGAATGAATAGATATTGGTCATGTAATGATGGACATGACAAGTGGATAGGGATGATATTTAGAGACACGGGTTACCACGGCGAAGGAACACATTTCCGCAACTGTACAAGTTTTATATACATATTAATAAAGCATGGACTTGAGGGTAGACTCTCACATTTTCAATAAATTTGTTTGATTATTTGTGAGAGGATCTTCCAATTATTATTTATTTGTATGTGTTTTGTGTATGTCCACACACACTCATTTACAATACAGGTAAAGGAAATTACTGTCTCTAGAACGAATAGCTCCCAGTCCCAGCCGCAAAAATGCCGGCAACTTTAAAACTACCCAGAGACATTCTTGGGTACATCCAGGATGTCATCCGCGAATAAAAGAGGACCGCGAATTAAAAATCCGCAAACTTGGGGGAGGGCCCCAGTTTAAATGGATTTCAATATAGTTATACTGTACCAAGTATTATTACATGTATTTTTTAATAAAACTTAATGAATAGCATACTACAGATTTAGTTAATACAAATTACGATACACTGTACATATTACTTCTCGATCAGCTGGACTCTTGAACTGTATGATGATAAGTGTGTGATAAAGATACCTTCACTGTTCATCTGCTATGGGGAATAGTGTCAGAATGATGTCCAATCCTTGCAGTAATTATGGAAGATAGCATATATGATCTACAAGTACCTAAACTGATAAATTATGAATGATTAAATATTGCAGCTTCTTCAGACAAAAAATGGTGCCTTTCAAAATTACTACAAAAGTACCTGGATTACCTTAGAGAAGTTATTTTTTTTTTGGTCTGGGGCTGCTGGTGAAGTATGACTTAATATCTCTACCCTTTCTTTTTCCTTCTCTGATTTTCAGGTTACGAAGTCTTTCAAGATCCTTTATCACTGAGTCCTGCTCAGCTTTGTCCCCATGTGTGACTGCAAGATCGCATAGAAGTAACACCTGCATAAAACAGAAGAAAACCTTGTGAAACAATGCATGAGAGAGCAGAGTTCATCAGTATTTTGCATATGCAAATGGCTATAATCATGGCAACTGGAAAAAACAATGGCTAAAATTTGAATGCACAGTAAATAAATCTCATTTCAACAAAACTATTAATTCCTTCAATAAAAAAAGAAAATGGTCAAATTTGAATTACAATTACCAAACTTATGAGTAGTAAAAGAGTGATATGGGATATGACAAAGACATCCATACACAAAACCATTGTATTCTCCTACTTTAAATTAAGGAATAAAATCAAAAAGAGCAACTCCCTGGGTAAAGCTGTAAAAGATTTGAAAAATTTCCAGGTGATTTCAAATTTATCAATGTGGAAACTGCCTGATGTCCTGAATAACTTCCCCTGATGTTGTTAACATGTTCAGCTCAATCAGTACCTACAAATTCAATTCAACTGCAATGACAAGAGCAGTACAATGAGCTTGTCAGAGTTAAAAGTGTTTTAACACAAATTATTATATACCTGTACAGGATAGAGTTCAAAGATCAAGTAGATGTGAAATGTTCTAAGAAGTTACTGATAAGTTTTAAAGTGGGTTGAAAATGGAATAAATACAGTGGTCCCTCCATTAACGAGCACAATTGGTTCCACAGTCTCTCGTTACCTGAATCTATTATTTCAATGGGATATTGGGTACTTGGTTCCAACTCACAGAATTCCCTTAAAATGAATTAAAAAGTACATACAAAGTACTGTATACCGGTAATAGAATTAAAAAAACATTAACTATAAACAAAATAAAGTACTGTACAGTATACTGTACAATAATAAATAAAAAACAAAATATTTTAACACATAATTTGAGGTGTGTATGTAGAATTCCCGGTGGCCTTGTTTACATTGCAGTAGCGCAAACAGATGATTGTAGACACAGTCGATGACGACATGCCATATTCTTTACAGAGTTCATTGGTTCTAATGCCTTCTTCGTATTTCTTATTAATTTCTTGTTTCACTTGAATTGAAATCGCCTTCCGAGATTCTTCGGACCCATGCTTGATAATTTCACCAATAAAAGTTTAAGTTCACAAAAATTTATTTAACTAATTCCAGATTTTTTATTTTATTTAAACCAACACTACACTGTATATTATCAATATGTTAACTAAATTTTAGAATGACCAATAATTTTAATGTAAAAATGCAAAAATATTCAAGGGCACAACTTTCTTGATGTTTACTCCACTGGAAACAAATGGTAAACATAAAACCGATTATTGGCGGACGAATCGATCAGCTGATGCATGACCCAAAACGTGTTTCTCGTAAGGCTGTCGTTAATAGAACTGAAAGTCCTTACGGGAGGTATGTCGTTAACTGAAATCTCGTAAATTGAACCGCTCGTTAATGGAGGGTCCACTGTAAACTAACTAACAGGGATAAAATGGATTTGAGGTTATGTGGATATAAAGACAATGACTAAGATGTTAAGCATGTACAGTACATATGATGGGTAAGAGGTATGATGTGTGTATGACAGAAGACCACAGGTAAGACTACTGTATTACACACAATGAGAGGAACATGTGCATGGGGAAGGCACATCATCTGGGTACAGTCTATGGAACCGTCTTTAGATTAACATGAACTAAGCAGTTTCTATTGAATTAACCTACTTGAAGAAAAGGGGAAGGCCAATGGCATACACTGTATATATGATAGATTTTTACCTTCACATAATAATCTTCAGCGCCCCAATTCAATCCACTTGTACTGATTATGCCTTGAAGTATGGAAACTATTATCCTCAACTTATCTTCTCGTTCTTTGACTGTCGTTCGAAATCTGTGAAAATTATGTTAACTTAGTTGTTACTGATGAGAAAATATTTTCAACTGGAAGACTTTCATATATGAAATACAATTATCAGAAAGTATCTCATTTAATTAGTTTTCTTCAAGTCAACATAATAAAAGTTTACTTAATTCATCAACGATAAATTTACTTTGAGAAAAAATAAAATATCAACTGAGTTTTTTTTAAATTAATATGAACTCTTGGAAGTTATAAGTAACATAAACAATATACTTAAACTCATAGAAAATATAGATATATGAGCTACTTACTTTGCAACTTCCTCACTCTCATCTGACACTGGAACCATATTACTGTCGCATGCCTTCCATTTGTTCTTGATATCGTCTAAACATTGATTATACTTTAAACGGAGTTCCAAGATCTCTTTGTCAAGCTCTTCCTTCTCCTGTACAACATCCTTCAATATCTTACAGGTATCTAGGTTGTTACTGTAGTGGAACAGCAGAGCCCTGGAAACAACACAGTAAAATAAGGTGGACGTCAATGAATACAGAACTGTACAACATTAAATTTTCTAATGATATAATTACCCTACTCACAGTACTCAGACAGAAGACTGCCAGAGCAATACAATATGGAGAACTTTATATCACCAAAAATGCGAGTAGCAAAATTCCCTGATTTTGAGTATAAATCATTTACCCGGCAATTTTCTGACCAATTATAAAATTTCCTGACATTTTTGTGACTCAAGAAATACAGTGTTTCCAAGAGAACCTTGCTTAACTGGGATATAAATTACGGTAACTAAGTCGAGATCACAAACCATAATCAACTCCTTCATGATCTGAAAGAAAAAAGGCACTGGTGATCTATCCTCTATAGCACAACCCTCACTATAATATTTACCATGAAAAATTTAACTAAATCACCAACAACTAACCCCTTCTCTGGGAAGTGATCCACAGTGTCCTCAGTCTCTACCTTTCTTAGGCTGTTGCTCACTACCTCCTGTTTCTGTAACAAAAGCTTAACTTTAAACACCAAATGACAATTAGTCTCTACAGTTTTAAGCAAATGTGAAGTAAAGTACGTATTACTATTTACTACAGTATCTGCATTTCAGATTTTAGGATAGGAGCCCATTGAGATTTGACGTGTGGATTACATAAGACATGTGCTTTGGGACTCACAAATAGGCATTCTTAAGTGTTCTAACTTGGGCCATTGGGCAAAATATTACTTCAATTAAAATTTAGAGCAAGGATAGTTATCTCTTAATCTACCCTCATATAAATCAAAGAGAGTTACGAATAACATAAAAAGTAAGCCGTAACCACCCTTTATTTTTCCATTCTACTTTAAGGATATAGCTGACTATGGTGGTATCAGACAATATAAAATGAATGAAAAAGAGGCCTAGATATTGTTTTAACTTCAGAAACTTCAGATTGGCAGTCAAAGAAGATTGAAGAGAATTATGATGATTATGATGAAAACATTAAAGAGAAGCATCAAGCTTTAGAGATTATACTTGTTGTTTTACCTGTAGAACATAAAGTCAATGATCCGTAAGACTTGCTAACCAATAACAATAATTCCAGCAATACCTGAACATTAAATACTGTATTCTGCATTGCATCACGGACTAGCTTGTGAGTGACCAGTGCATGATGCAGTTCATCAATCTCATCAACAAGTTGGTTCTTGTTGAATCTCCCTTCGTCTTGGTCGGTTTCTGCGGTATGTAGCTCTTTGCTTTCTGGAAATATGACACATTTTAGACTACTTAATTGAGAACAAGCAGCCCTCAACAGTACAATAATTTATATGATGAGCAACAAAAAATATCATAAATGCGATATCTTTGTTATGGTAAATGTATCTGCTGCACTCATTAAGTTACCTGCTTAGCATAACCCTCATCATGATCAAGGTGCTGGCATGGGTTTGCCGTAATTACTAATGTCATGGTATCCCAAAGGCCATCTAGTAAATTTGAAACAAGTTTTACAGCTGGAAGTCCTTCATACTGCCAACCCACTTTTGCCAAGTAAGAACTGAGTATTAAATGTAAGACTTTCAAGCAGGCAGGTTTGCTACTCCCCAAAATAATCAAGGGTTTCTCGTCTATGTGTAAAGATTTTGTTTTTATTCTGATGACCTGAACTGGGGATCATAAGGTCCCAGATGAACACTCTTAGAGCATGACCATCAAGGGTAAAGTTTTTTTTTACTCAGGTTCAAACCTGGGGATCCTTAGGCCCTCTATGGCAACTCCCAGAGTTTGACCATCATGTTCTTTGCAACAAATGATAGGTAAGATGATACAATAATTCTTAAATTACTGTACAGTACTGTGTTTGTACAGGCAGCTGTACAGTACTGTGTTTGTACAGGCAGCTGTACAGTACTGTGTTTGTACAGGCAGCTGTACAGTACTGTGTTTGTACAGGCAGCTATACAGTACTGTTCCTCTGTTTATGAAGATTTACTTTTCAGAATATTTTTTAACCAGTGATTCAGATAAGGTCTAAAATAAACTTGGAAAATTTACCATATATCTCTATTTTTCTTAAGATACTTTCTTGATTCTTCAGCATCATTAGATGATCCAGAAGGGATGAAAGCTCCATTTTCTCCATAGCAACAATGCGGTCCATTGCTTCCTCCATCTCCTGTGGCATTTCTGCATCATCATTCATGATTGTCTTCCAACACAACAGCAAGTACAGTACTGGCCAACTGAAAGGAAGTAAACAAATACCCTGTAGTGACTGCAATATTTTTTTACCAGGACTTTGTTTTTATATGCAAATGTGACAAAGTATTTATTCAAATGTAATCAAAATAAAGTTCTTTTCTACAAGTGCAACTGTCATAAGTTTTACCTATATTAAATTTTAAAATGAGGATTTTTTGTAATTTCAGGAATTACATCTACAGACAGACAAATTCACAAGACACTTGGATGATGCTAGACATATTTCTATACATGAAACAGATCTAGTGCTTGGTATGATATGTAGAACTGTACTGTACAGCCACTCCTCGACTTACAACGGGGTTAGGGACCCAAATCCAGGTCGTAAGTCGAATTGGTCGTAAGTCGAAAATGAGAAAATAATACATAGAAAATCTAAAATGGGTGTCTCTTATTCTTCTCAGCACCACAAAACTCTCACTTTTAAGCATGCCAGCCATTTTAAATGGAATTACAAACGAAAAATTTGTCAGTACACAGTGCAATCACCAACGTTGGGACTCGAAAATACGCAATTTAAAAAAAATGTGTATGACTGGGGCGGTCGTATGTCCAGGTGGTAGTAAGTCGAGTAGGTCGTAAGTCGAGGAGTGGCTGTACTGTGTTGTAAGTTTAAATATTGCCTGCAATAAAGGAGGAACAACTGTATATGTTATACTGAAGGGAGGTTGGCTGCTATAAAGTATGATGGATGTATTATTGGCAACAAAAGGTACAGTTGGTACAGCACAGTGGATTGTAATAATGAATGAATACAGCTGGTAATGTATAAGACTTTAAGTCAAGGAGGCTTGGAACAAAATGGACAGATGAATAATCAAGTAGGACAAGCAGTTAAGAATAAATACAGCCTGTGGACACGAAGACTTCATGGTTATGGTTCAACTGTTTACATCTGCTTCCCAGTGACAATAAACTAACAACCTAACCAGTGATGAATTTAGGCCTGCTGGGGCCCTGTGCAGTTCAGATGTGTAGGGGCCAGCCCCACACTCCCACAAGTTCCCACAAGGTTGACAACTACATACAACAATGGAAAAACTATCTAGCCAGTGAAAAAATAAATATAAACCTTAAGTAATTAGCTTTTTATATTATCTTTTCATATCTAAGGTTGGCTGCCCCGAAAATGTGGGTACAATACTGTACTCTATTCAGCCGCAAACTCTGAACACCCCTAATTCCAGCACTGACCCTAACCTACCTAAACTAAAATAATGCTCTCCATCCTAGGATACCTAGGTAGGGAAATTAAGTCAGGTTAGCTTAGGTTGGGGTGTTTTATCTTATATACGATAAATCATTCGTCACTGGGAAGTGTTCATGAGTATGAAATGCTGTTCAGGGTCAAATTGCTAAAATAAAACTGTACAAAAATTACAAATCCTTGTTATTTGGTAGTATATTATTGACAAAAGAATTTATAATTTATACAAAAACATTCTAAAATTTAAATTTTTTAATGTTTGTGTGTGGATGGAAGCATTAATGTCTATGAAATGTTTCTTTTAGTAGTCACGCAATAGTTATTAATGGAGTCGCAGGAAGCTAGTATATTGACAGAGATTTGTGTTCATGAAGAAAAGATTTGAAAAAGAAACACAAGACAGCTGCATTACCTCCACTGTTTTTCCTTCTAATATTCCTGGGGTAATATAGAATTTGTTTTTGAGAATGTCCTAAAATTGCTCCTTCTCAAGAGCAAGTGTTCCAAACTACAGTATTAATTACCATTCATTTCATCAGCTTGCCTGCTGCTTGGGGGGGTTGGTCTTACATGATTGTAAGTACTGTACTGTATTTTAGAATGAACGACAACTTTATATTTTCCCTTTGTATTTTTTTCCTTAGTGGGTAGGGCATGAAAGAAGGAAATTATGGGGTAAAAACACACACACACAAAAAAGAAAAGAAAAAAAAAGATATATGCCTCTACGACTTATATACGAAAAAAAAAAAACAATCACCGTCACCTACATATGGAGCCATGGGTCTAATGGCCGTCCGACATTACAGTGGTTCGGTATCGGTCCACGGTTACTGTGTCTTCCGCAAATAAGCTTTATTTTATTTTGGGTTAGGTCGGGGGGTCCAGAAGAATGTTAGGTCAGGTTTTGACATCTATCTGCATTCATATTAGCGTTTGCTGTGTTTTTACCCCATAATTTCCCTCTACCTTCATGCCCTGCCCACTATCAAGTGATTCATGATTGAAGGATTGTCAAAGATTTAAAAGTCGATAACGATAGTTCTAATAATTGTAGTCTATCTTAAATTACTTACTATAATAACAAGAACATAGTGAAAAAAAAGTTACCTTTTTCTGGTGGTAGCAGCGTTCTCATACATTACGGTCAGAAATGAGTAGTTATGGAAAGTGATGCCCCCTCCCTACCCCTACCTACAATTTGGAGTCCTGTGATATGGACACAACTCTGAAGTAGAGGTTAAATTGTGGGATAAAAGCACACAAAACACCTCCCTAACCTGACCTAACTTTGAAAATGTCAATTGCAGCGGTGTTATTTAAAAAAAAAAACACGTTGAATGGTTTGTCATTCTGACTGGGAACACCATGATACACGTAAGACATGTTATGACTAACAAATTAAATTTCAAAAGCTTGAGCATGCAAAGGTGTATCCTTTAACAGCGTGAATTCCACTGAATGGCGGGATACAATCATGGGTAATATTGCAGTTTACAGTAACCACAGAATTCCAGAATTCACTACACTCAATCCAACCTAACCTAATGTAACCTAACCTAGTCACTGAACCTAGGGGCAATATTTAACCTACCCGGGGTGGCTTAACCATCCTAGACCCCTCTTTCTAGTGGGGGTTAAATTTCTAAGATTCACCAGATGACCGAAACTAAAATAATACCGACAAAAGTAAAAGTAAAAAAGCTAAAAATCAACCAGAATCCTGCACTAAAATCATAACCCTTTGAAGTACTACAAGCTTAAGGCACCATTATCAACACACCTTGTTTTATGGGTAGTTTACACCAAGTTGTTTCCCTGTGGTGTGATCAGTAGTTTAAGCTCCTCACTTTAAGTTCTTCCTGCAGTACACGTTTGAACTGTTTACTGTTTACCTCACACTAACCGTTCCTGTAGGACTGTACTGGTAAAATCCTAACACAACTAAAGGAAATGTTAAGTGTTGTTATACTGTAGATATATTTATATTTATTCAGTAAAATAGTTATATAAATTTACAGTTGAGGTAACATGCATATAGACAATACTAGTGGTTACTATGGAATCTTTACCCAGTACAGTGGTATTCACAGTTCAGCATGTATATTACAATATACAGTTCATTATGAATATAGACAATACAGGTATTCAGTTCAGCGTGCATATATACAAAGCAATATACAGTATACATGGACCGCCTAAGACCTGGAGGGCGAATTGGCGTGTAATTGCGGGGGGGGGGGGGACAACCATATTATTAACCTATTTTTAAAGAAATTCTAACATAGTTTCCAATTAATTCTGTTAATCAAAGCAGTTTTGGAGCTTTCATATTAGATATATTTCATTTATTTAAGAGGGAGCAGGGTACAGTACAATACTGGGAAAACTACAATAGAACGCAGTTAGATCTCATACAAGTATATATTGTATTACAGTTGTTATAGGCTTTTTATATGTCGTATGTGAAATAGAAACTCTTTGACTGTCTTTCATATATATATATATATATATATATATATATATATATATATATATATATATATATATATATATATATATATATATATATATATATATATATATATATATATTTCTGGAAATATATTCGTGAGACGGGGCAGTAGAAGCGGTGTTTGTGTGTGATGCTCACAGTTTCTTCTCCCGTACTGTATGTGTTTCAAGCCTCTGATTTACATTCTAATCCACCTTCAGGTTCTCGCCGTCCTAAGAGAGACTCAGCGTTCGACGAGTTGGATAGGGTATCTGGGGGAATCCCCTCTCGTTCTCGTGTAAGGACTCAACGTGCAATTCCAATCCGGATTTAGAACCGAGTTTGTAGAACAAGTTACGTCATTTGGAGTAACAAGAAGCTTCTGGGTGTACTGTTGTCAGAAGGCGAAGAAATATTTGGGTACCTATTTTAGTTGATCTGAAATAAACGAATAAAGGTATGTTACTATATACAGGGTGAGGCCAAAAAGTTTACCCCTGTTTCAAATATAGATAAAAATCATTAGTATTGATATCAATGTAAAGTAAATTTAAAAAAAACAGTGTACGCTTATGAATGCTAAAAACTAAAGATAATGAACGCCAGTTGATCATTGGAAACTCAGGGATGAACGCCTAAAGGATCATTAAAAAATGTCTATGAAAAAAAAAAATATATAATAATACTTGAACAATCCAATTCACATTAATATTTTTACCCCTAAAGAAAACAAATTCTTCTTACTTATAGTCCAACCAAATGAAGAAAGAATCACTAAGGAGGAAACAAAAGAACATCGCCATCAATCAATCAATATATATATATATATATATATATATATATATATATATATATATATATATATATATATATATATATATATATATATATATATATATATATATATATATATATATATATATATATATATAATATTTCCCTAATGCAAAATGCACAGCTTAGATCCATTTAATTATAATTATAGGATACGAAATTTTGTTCATCCAGTAATTCAAATAAATATTTGAGCCGTATTCATCGGAATTACATCGTTACACCGCGGTTAAAAACTCATTATTTGATCTGGATGCTACGCTGGGCAACCATGCATTCAAGTGAACACAATTAAAATGTAGGTTTGATAAAATTGTTGAATCAAATCAGCATACATAATTAATATATATTTTATTGCTATGTATGATATAACGCCTTCAGCGTATTACATTTTATGAAGTGTATCTATTTTATGCACGTAACATATGTCAACAAGGGTTAGTCTCTCATACATAGGTTATAATACACTGTATTTGTATTCTCGAGTAAATATCTTTCTATACACTTCGTAAGTTATATTAATGTGTTCTATTTAAGACAGGGATGTTTAGCACGGCCAATCATATCCCTGGCAGATATAGTTTTTGGGTGAGCACAGCAGCTTGACAAAGTGATTATTGTCAGATTACGACCCAGGGCAAGAACTGTATTCCTTGACCCAGAGTCTTCCAAAACTGTGTGAAATATTCAGTATTCTACGGCCTCACACAGCTAAGAATCCCATAATTCATTTCATCTTGACATCTGATGAGGCGGTCAAGAGGCAGTGGGTCAGGCAGGGTGTCAAGAACTGTAGACGGTGTTGGGTGTTGCTGAGTTAAAATGCGGCAATTGACATCTCTTAGGATCAACTACAAATACTTTTTCCAAGTTTTAATTACCTTTATCTTTCAAAAGTTCAATTACAGTACAATTACTCTCGACCTAAACTAGTACAGTATACCTAAAGATGAATTACATTAGGGTCTTCTGGAAGGTCGAATTGTGAAAATACCCGACTGACGTAATACATCACTTAAAACCTTAATTATCCATAAACTTGTGTAAACATTACCAATATTCATTAACCTCTCACTTAAATACTATAATATTCATCAACCTCACACATAATCCACTAATACTGAGGCAGAGAGGAAAGATGTGATCACCGTATTAATATTCTCATTATCGAGTCGTGGAAAATAAACAATATGAATGCCGTAGTGACATCAGAAACAACGGGGAATACACGATATATAAAAAAAAACCCTAATTAAATCTATCCTTTAATAAAAGTAGAATTGAAATTGGTGTATCATCAGAATAATGTGGATTTACATACTTCACAAAATTCAGGATGGGAGAGAACGTCAGAATTCACAGTAGTGGAGGTTTGGTGCGGGTAATGGCGCCGGCCAATCCTGATATGCAAATGAGATACAGACGTGGAATTGTGGCGTGGCCAGTCATATGTAAACTGTGGGAATGGGTGGTGGTCTAACGGAGTGTATGGTGGTGATGGTGTGTGATGGCGTGTGGTGGTGGTGATGTGTGTTGGTGAGGGTGTGTGGTGGTGTGTGGTGATGTGTGGTAGTGGTAACTTGTGGTGATGGTGACGTGTGGGTGGTGTGTGGTGGTGAAGGTGTGTGTAGTTGTGGTGGTGTGTGTGGTTGTGGTGATGTGTGGTGGTGTGGTGTATGGTTGTGGTGGTGTGTGTAGTTGTGTGGTGGTGTGTGTGTGGTTGTGGTGGTGTGTGTGGGTTTGTGGTGGTGTGTGTGGTTGTGGTGGTGTGTGTGTGGTTGTGGTGGTGTGTGTGGTTGTGTGGTGGTGTGTGTGGTTGTGTGGTGGTGTGTGTGGTTGTGGTGGTGTGTGTGGTTGTGGTGGTGTGTGGTTGTGGTGGTGTGTGGTTGTGGTGGTGTGTGTGGTTGTGGTGGTGTGTGGTTGTGGTGGTGTGTGTGGTTGTGGTGGTGTGTGTGGTTGTGGTGGTGTGTGTGGTTGTGGTGGTGTGTGTGGTTGTGGTGGGTGGCTGTGTGTGGTTGTGGTGGTGTGTGGTTGTGGTGGTGTGTGTGGTTGTGGTCGTGTGTGTGGTTGTGGTGGTGTGTGTGGTTGTGGTGGTGTGTGGTTGTGGTGGTGTGTGTGGTTGTGGTGGTGTGTGGTTGTGGTGGTGTGTGTGGTTGTGTGTGTGGTTGTGGTGGTGTGTGTGTGGTTGTAGTGGTGTGTGTGATTGTGGTGGTGTGTGGTTGTGGTGGTGTGTGTGGTTGTGGTGGTGTGTGTGGTTTGTGGTGGTGTGTGGTTGTGGTGTGTGTGGTTGTGGTGGTGTGTGTGGTTGTAGTGGTGTGTGTGATTGTGGTGGTGTGTGGTTGTGGTGGTGTGGTTGTGGTGGTGTGTGTGGTTGTAGTGGTGTGTGTGGTTGTGGTGGTGTGTGGTTGTGGTGGTGTGTGGTTGTGGTGGTGTGTGTGGTTGTGTGGTGGTGTGTGTGGTGGTGGTGTTTGGCTGTGGTGGTGTGTGGTTGTGGTGGTGTGTGGTTGTGGTGGTGTGTGGTTGTGGTGGTGTGTGGTTGTGGTGGTGTGTGGTTGTGGTGGTGTGTGGTTGTGGTGGTGTGTGTGGTTGTGATTGTGGTTGTGGTGGTGTGTGTGATTGTGGTGTGTGTGGTTGTGGTGGTTGTGTGGTTGTGGTGGTGTGGATGGTTGTGGTGGTGTGTGGTTGTGGTGGTGTGTGTGGTTGGTGGTGTGTGGTTGTAGTGGTGTGTGTGGTTGTGGTGGTATGTGGTTGTGGTGGTGTGTGTGTGGTTGTGGTGGTGTGTGGTTGTGTGGTGGTGTGTGGTTGTGGTGGTGTGTGGTTGTGGTGGTGTGTGTGGTTGTGGTGGTGTGTGGTTGTGGTGGTGTGTGTGGTTGTAGTGGTGTGTGTGGTTGTGGTGGTGTGTGTGGTCGAGAGTGTGTGTGGTTATGCTGGAGTGTGGTGGTAATGTTAGTTTAAATATCTTAACCCCGTGGCTCTCGTCTGCTCATTACCGTAGACCATCAATTATAAAAGGATTCACGTGTTGCATTGTATCCCTGACAACTCTACTCCCGCCAGAGGCCTCCTACCACTGTCACTTTTCACTTTACCAGATATTTCCAGGCTTGTGGTGGTGTGTGGTTGTGGTGGTGTGTGTGGTTGTAGTGGTGTGTGTGGTTGTGGTGGTGTGTGTGGTCGAGAGTGTGTGTGGTTATGCTGGAGTGTGGTGGTAATGTTAGTTTAAATATCTTAACCCCGTGGCTCTCGTCTGCTCATTACCGTAGACCATCAATTATAAAAGGATTCACGTGTTGCATTGTATCCCTGACAACTCTACTCCCGCCAGAGGCCTCCTACCACTGTCACTTTTCACTTTACCAGATATTTCCAGGCTCGATCTGTGTTTTGTACTCTGATGCCATAGAACATTTTCACAGGGAAACTGCATCTAATGTATGAACACTACCTTAGAGCTTTTTTCCCCAAGTCTGCGAAAGTCCCATTTCACTGCAGTACTGCTGGGATGTCCTTCACTAAGGTTGGAAGTGGTTTAACCTTTTCTTTCACAGTTAAGTGAGAGGTGCTAGAGGAGGCGCCCTCAAAAGTAATGAGACAGTCCCATGTGACTTCAAACAAACACGCAAATAGAATCACATGACTCAGCCATGTCAATATTATTATTATCTACCCTGTATCTATATTTATTTGACTAAATAAACTGTTTCAATATCAGTATCAGATTACTGCAGTGTTGGTAGGACATGATCGGAGCCCTACAGTACAGTATGTAGATGGTAGGTCGTCAGGGACAGGGATCTCTGGAGGTGAGAACAAGGTGTGTTGTATATCGTAAAAGGTGTGGCGGAGACAGGAGGTCGACACATTATAATTACCGTACACTGTACTTCTGTCGAGTATGTTGTCTTTGGTGTACTCTACTGTACGTGTTGGTGTATATCCAGTGAATGGTTATGGTGATGTATGGACAACAGAGTATGGTTAGAAGGGTGTTGATGCTATAATGTATTACTACTGCCCTTGTACAATACCCTTCAACATATGGGGTACTTAAGAACGTACCCGGTTTAGTACTTACACTCATCATCAACAATTGAAATTCAAGTGAGATACATCTCTCTGGTTATGTGTTGTTTCGTAAGTACGTACTCGTATATGGCCCAGTCACTCTCTGTCGAAACAGCTTTTGATTATGGTAATATTGTGCTTCGGCGATGACTATTCAGGGTGGTGTATGGAGTATATCCTGCAGTGTATGGCTGGGGCGTGGTGGGGAACATGGTGGATGAGGGAGGGGAGCAGAAGGAGGGAGGAAGTGTGGGAGTGTGGGAGAGCGGGAGCTGCAGACCACTCTGATGTCAGTCGTCGCTCAGTCGTGGTGGAGGAAGGTCGTGTGTGCGTGGTCCTCAACCTCCTCGACGCTGGACTTTGCGTTGCGAGTTACAAGTTTTAATTATTCTTTGATAATACTCTGACTTAGTGTGTAGTGTCGTGAAGTATTTCTTGTCGGATTTATATATCTTACATATTACTGTGTAAATTTTCAGTGTGTGAAGTGGTGATAAAACTTAAAATATAATGTTTTGTAATACGATGAAGTGTACATAGCAACGAGTGACAGTCGAAACTTTTTGTGGAAAACGTCAGCTTCTGCCAAGGTTGGTACAATATTATTAACGATTATAAATTTGTTAATTATTTATCCCCATATGGTAATTATTCTGAGACAGTGAAAATATTGCTTTACATTAAAATTTCTCCCAACATTCATTCGCTCTTAATAAATAAATTGTGGGCGCTTAGGCTGGTTTGGTCCATTAAAGCGACCGCGACAACGAGGTCACTTTTGGTGTGATGGTGAGGTAGGGGTGTACAGTATGTGTCCTAGCTCACCATAACAAATCATGAATACAGATGTGGTGATGGTGGCCAGCGAGGAACAAAAGTGTGGTGATCGCTATGGTGGCCATATTAAGAAACAGTGTGAAATTTGTGGCCACAGCGAGAAACAAATGCTGTATGTTAATAGTGGTGTGGGTAGCACCAGTAAGTTGGTGGTGATGGCCACAAGGAGCTTGCTGACTGATACACAAATTATTGAGATTCATGATGGTGGCCACAGAAAGGAAATTAGAATGGCGATGCTGGCCACATTAAGGAACACAGTGGTGATGGTGGCCACAGAAAGGAAATCAGTATGGCGATGTTGGCTACATTAAGGAACACAGTGGTGATGGTGGCCACAGTAAGGAAATCAGTATGGCGATGTTGGTCACATTAAGGAACACAGTGGTGATGGTGGCCACAGTAAGGAAATCAGTATGGCGATGTTGGCCACATTAAGGAACAGTGTGGTGATGGTGGCCAAACTAAGGAACACAGTATGATGGTGGCCACAACAAGGAACAATGTGATGACGGTGGCCACAGTGAAGGACACGGGTGTGGTGATGGTGGCCACGGCGAGGGACACAGGTGTGGTGATGGTGGCCACAGTGATGGACACAGGTGTGGTGCTGGTGACCACAGTGAGGGACACAGGTGTGGTGATGGTGTACAGTGATGGACACAGGTGTGTGATGGTGGCCACACTGAGACACAAGTGTGATGATGGTGGCCAATGAGGGACACAGGGGTGATGGTAACAGTAGGACACAGGTGTGGTGATGGTGGCACACTGAGACACAAGTGTGATGATGGTGGCCACAATGGGGACACAGGTGTGGTGATGGTGGCACAGTGAGGGACACAGGTGTGGTGATGGTGGCCAGTTAGGGACAGGGTGTGGTGGTGGTACAGTGGGGACACAGGTGTGGTGATGGTGGCCACAGTGAGGGACACAGGTGTGGTGGTGGTGGCCACAGTGGGACACAGGTGTGGTGATGGTGGTCACAGTGTGGACACAGGTGTGGTGATGGTGGCCACAGTGAGGGACACAGGTGTGGTGATGGTGGCCACAGTGCGGGACACAGGTGTGGTGATGGTGGCCACAGTGAGGGACACAGGTGTGGTGGTGGTGGCCACAGTGCGGACACAGGTGTGGTGATGGTGGCCACAGTGCGGGACACAGGTGTGGTGGTGGTGGCCACAGTAAGGGACACAGGTGTGGTGATAGTGGTCACAGTGTGGGACACAGGTGTGGTGATGGTGGCCACAGTGAGGGACACAGGTGTGGTAATGGTGGCCACAGTGCGGGACACAGGTGTGGTGGTGAGAGGCAGTTTTGCAGGACAGTGTGGTCGTCTTGGAGGTGACCTGAGACAGTTTGGAGGTGTTGATGAGCTAGGGTGTTGGCAGTAGTTTTGGAGGTGACTCAGCTAGTAGCAGGGAGACGGAGGCCGAGTGGATATAGTGTTCAACCTCTGTCCTAAGGGTCACTGGTTCGATCCCTGGGGTATTGATAGACCACCTTATTTTTATGGATACATAATTGTACAGTTGTGGGAGTGAAGGGGGCCGAGTGTAGTGGCGAACATTCATCATCCTTGTTTCCCAAAAGTTTAACATAAAGTTGTAATGTTTTGGAGGCAATTCTTATAAGCTAATGTAGTTTGTTAATTTGGTGGTGGAGGTGTTTTGGTGTTGTTTGTGTATATGTGTGGTGGTGGAGGTGTTTGTGGTGGTGGCTAGAGTGAGGGACATTAGAGTAGTATTGAGGGTTGTGGTCACAGACTTGCAGGAGTGATGGCATCGTTGAGGGTGACACACGCTGAAGATGCAAGTCCATTGTGTGATGATAATGGTGGTAGTGGTGGTGAGGACAGTGGTGGCGGTGACAACTATAAAACACGTTCACGCAAAGAGGGAGACACATAATGTTTGGTTATATATAGAGAAGAAACAGACATTACTAGTATTACAATTTGAAATCTTTAAATGTCATGTATTAATATGAGAGTTATTCAATTCTGCACCGTGGAAGGACCAATAGTTACACCTTGAGGATTGAGGACGTGCAGGGTTAAAGATGTAGGGACAACAGTGGAAGCTGACAGTCTCGTTTGGATCTGTGCTGGATGTGTGGACGGGTGAAGAACTCGAGGCCGCGTGAAAGAAACTCCTCACTTGCAACATCTGAGCAATACACAAGTTACGGAGGCTGGAGTCACGACGGACAACTTGCATCTGTCGAGCGAGGGACCCACTAAGGATACGCACGTCCAGAAAGTTGTAGATAAGGCAGCCGAAACAAAATCCCAAACCTGATGTGGAGAGTTGTGGCCTGTGGGAGTCGAATTACAGAGGACCACAGCCCCTGCCTCTATCGCGAAGGGTTATCAGCTAAGCGTTTCCTTGTGATAAACGACACGCAACCTTACTTCTGTGACGATGTGTGTGTGTGTGTGTGTGCTATGTATGTAGAGGGTCCTATAGAGAAATAGAGAGGGACTTGGGTATCTTTACATGCATTTTAAGCAATCAACACCAAAGTACTACCTTAAATAATTTAGGGGAAAGTAAGGGGCATTTTAACGAGTACATGACAACACACCTGTTTCCAGACAGAGGAAGAGAGGCAGTGTTGGCAGCGTGTGGACGTGTAACAGATGAATCCCCTGGCCACCTGTCCTCAGAGGCCAGCTGTGTTCAGTAGCGGAATGGTGTTGATAGTGACCCTGATTTCCCTGGAGGTGAGAAATGAGCAACAATCAGACAAGCACTGAGCCAGACTGAGGTTTTCCCTCACCTGGACTAATCATCTGGATTTTGTTCTAGTAGGAAGTTTTTGTTTGGTCTTAAATGGTCACTGCGGAGGTCCAGAGCTGGCAACACACTGACTCCGGAGACTGTTGATGTTCAAGAGACTTTATAGTGTGTCTGTGAACAGGAGAGAAATTTGCTTGGGTCACCTTCACAGATGACACGATATAAGTTATTTGTGGTAACAGAGGCATAGTATTAAGGTCTTCTGTATACACACGCATTTCATACACATATATACACACTATGAACACCTTTTGTATACATATAAATACACTAAACGTTTCCTAAACACACACGGTTCCAAATTTAGTATCACATCAAGTGTGAGTCCTTGAAGTGACACTCAAGCTTACATCACGGAGCTTACTAACACTGAGCTGACCTTGCTGTACACGCACACTGTAACTGTCATATGATAATGTCAGCGGGGTGGAGTGCAACACATGTCCAGAATCTCAAACACTGAACCATCGCGTGTAACATAAAAACATTATGCATGATGTGTGACATGTGTTTATCGAGTACATCGCTTGTACAATGTGTGAAAAACATGTACTGTGCAGAGTACATATACAACAGTAAAGCTATGAGAACAAGGTGAGTAACACGGTTTAATGACCAGTGATTCGTGCTGAGGGGTACAGAACCTGCTGCCTCTATAGTTTACATAGGTGTTTACCGTACAACACTTAATACTGTGGAGAGTAAACAATGAATTTATATTGTTCACACACACACACACACACACACACACACACCTAGACTGGAAGCGCCCCATTCATCACGGAAGCAATAATGGCCGCTGTGTATTTTTCCCTCTAAAGGGTAGTTACAATAAGAGGCATAACACACTTGTTACTCACAGGTAAGGGATTGGGGTACACGGGTGAGTGTGACGGAATTGAATATATATTGAGAGTTACGATCAAGGAGTGTGAATGGAGGGAGAGGGGGGGACGAGGAACAGTTTTGTTTGGCAGATAAAACAGGAAAATATTAAGGGAGGGGAAGAAAGGAGGAAAATGGTCAAGAGTAAAGAAAGTAAAGAGGCAGAATACAATGGATAAGAATGAAATGGTAATTAAGATACGAAAATAAATACGAATTTTATTGGAAGAGGAGGAGGAGGAAGGGTAAATTCGAGCTGTGAATCCCTTGGGCCGAGAGAGAGAGAGAGAGAGAGAGAGTACTGTATAACATGACACACACACACAACCATCTTGACAGTGTGGCCACCATCAGCTGTTATGGCCAAGATTTTGCACAGTCCAGGCCAGCTGTGTTGTATGTTTCTGTGTGTGTGTTTGTGTGTGTGTGTGTGTGTGTGTGTGTGTGTGTGTACGGTATATATTGATATGTACATAAACATATATGCAGGGGGAGGGAAGAGCAGTTGAAAAGAGTGGACACTGTGAATAGAATACACTGAAATTGAACAAGCATTCGGCACACAAGAAAATAGCGTGACCGGCACTGCACTCTATCTCCCTTCACCTTCTCATCTGTAAAGTTAAGTGCCCTTTCCGTGGCTAGGTTGACTGTTTGGGAGGCTACCTACAACTCAGTGATCTGCAGTGGGAATCGAACCCGGGAAGGTTGGATGAGGAGATGACTGCCACCCCTGATAAGGCTGACGACGCTAGCACAAAAAACAACAACCAGGTGACTTTTTAACACTCGTCACGTTCCACCAATTTATCTTTCACTTTCAAACGACACATTTGATCACTAATTCTTTGGTGGCGATGAAAATTCACAACATTTCTACAACTCACAGAATATATCTCAAGTTTGGTCGTGGTCGTTTATTAAAAAAAAGTAAAATATTATATCGATGTAGCAAGGAAAAAAGTTCGTGTATGGAAAACAAAAGCAACTGAAGTGAACAACGTAAATTATTTTATTTTTACAGTTCGTTCTCGTTGTGTTGTTCCAGTATATATTCTTCCACACGA